TGAAAAAATTTCTCCCCCTTATTGTGCACTTAAAAGTGATAACACCTCACACTAAATGCTGGCATACATCGTACTAACGTTATGTCAAACCCCTGTTTGTCAGGCCTACTTCATTGTTTCAACATAAAATAAAAGTCAGCAGTGACAACAGATGAAAGCTGTTTGTTTAATGCAAGAAAATTAGGAACTAAATTCTGTACATGACAAGCCTTTTTTGGAACGCATGACTTTCAGAGTGATATCTAAAGATATAGTAGAAAAAAGAATGGGTACTAAGGACTAAGAATACCACTCGAAATTAGTAGTTTCAAACAAACAATAACCTAGGAAGCGTGAAAAGCGGTTACAAAGGAAAGCATAAGTTAGTTATAATGGTCCGTTACCATAAATAATTACTACACAGAACGTGCATCATCAGTTGATGCCAGACTAACTCTCAGTCAACGTTTCCACGTTCTTTTTGGCACCATATTTACCCGGTTTTTGTACCTTATTTCTAGCCACTTCGCCCCCATGCATCATTTATTTTGCCCCATGTTCATTAAACAGCCCTGCGTTTTGCCATGCACTCATTTTGAACTTACAGTTTACCCCACATTTCCCAGCGAAAATGGCGACTGAGATTATGCTTTGGCATATTAGAAAGGAGGAACACAGGAGGAGAATAGAAAATTGAGGCATTTTCAGGAAAGCGCAGTTGTAGGAGAAAAGTAGATTTCCAGGCAACCTTCACGGAGAAAAAGCGAGGATCTGGGATAAATAGCAGCTTTATAGCATGCAGCCTAAGTAGGTGGCCCACTGACAAGTATATTTAGACTGTCCCTCAATGACCACACACTCCCTTATGAAGAGAAATACATCATAATCACACATAAATACAAGGCAGGTTCTAGACAGCAGTCATCAAACTACAGACTAATGAGTTTGTATATTACTGTAGTTAAAATCCTAGAAAAGGTACTCAGGGAAGTCATTACGGTCCAAATAGAATTCAACACTCCATTGTCTCGTTTGGAACATGGCTTTCGCAGAAGTTTCTCTTCCTTGACGAACTTTGTCATATTCAGATAAATTTGGGTTAAGTCTAAGGATGGTAGGATTCCTGTAGATATTACATTTAATAGAATTTAGTAAGTGGTTAGACAAGGCTCTTAATTTCATGCTACTCGTGAAAATGGAAGGCTCCAGAATCACCTGGAATGGAGTGGAAAATTCCTTGTTGATAGGAGACCAACCACACGAATCAATTCTCCTCTTGGAAGCCGGTGTAGAGTGGTGTCACGAGGCGCACTCATGGGTCTCCCACATGCACAAATAAACTACGGAATATCAAGAAATCCGCCATGGTTTTTCAAGCTGATGCGGTAAACATATGGCGAAAAATAAGGGATAACGACTATTTACATGCACTTCAGACAGACGTAAGCAGTTTGTTGTCCTGGTGAGGGAAATGGTTGATACCTGTCAACTCAGGTAAGTTTGTGAGCATGCACATGGGTATACAGACTGCAACATATACAATATTGGTGGGATTCCTGTACCCTCATTACGCTGAGAATTCCAAATTGTACCACAAATTGTTTGGAATAAAGTGAGTTATTACTAATTATTATTATTAAAATTATCTAGGAGTCACAGTAAATCAATATCTGAAGACGACAGCGTACTTTCAATTGGTCATAGCCTGGAGTTTTAGGACACTTTAGGCGTAAAACAGAACGTGCACTAAAGAAAATGATGATGTGTCCACCATCTTATACAGATGCCTAGTTACACCTAAACTAGAAAATTTTGAACAAGCGGCAAATCGTTGTCTGTGAGGCGACTTAAGTCTTCTGGAAGGATTTGAAAGAAAGCCCACTCATATGAACCCTCATCTACGAAGAACAACTTCAAGAGTTCAAACTCTCTCTTTTATCCCATTGTAGACATAGATGAGAATTAAACATGCTATACAGGATTTTGGACCCAATCTGTTTTCTCCTATCATTCTCATTTGATCGGAATTCCTCAGAGGAAACAACAGGAGAGTACAAATGCAAAGGACGGACCTTGCCTCCGTAAAGTACTGGTTCTCGCATCGCGTAATCAACTCCTGGACCTGATTCCCAGAAGAAGCGGTTCCTGCGTCATCAAATGACTTGTTCAATACAGTACTGATATTTACTGCAAAATGTTTAATACAGGGTCATAGCTTTCTTTCCTAAGATTAAAAATATGAAATTGAGTAGAATGAGAAGAGTGACTTGAAGGGCGGAAAAGCAACAATCGCTGGGAAGAGGCGTGATGAGGGGAAATTTGTTGCAATTCCCCATGATTATCATCTTATTTCAGCACTGGGCTTTCCTTTCTTGCGTTTATTCACTTTGTTTCCCATATTTCGGTCCGCTTGAGTGAACATGTTCCTTCGAGGATTTCTTCCTGACTTGTCCCCTGTATTTTGTACCCTTTGAATACCGAATTCAACTTCATTCCGTGTTTTATATTTATATGTGCACATGTACTTGTAGTTCTTATTTCACGTGTAATGATCATATCAGTCTGTGAGGGTGGGTTGAAAAAAGGACAGGCTTTGTTTAGTCTTCCTATACCTACGTAGACTATTTTGATTCCCACTTATGTAAAAAGATTCTTCTTTAAGATGTTCCTTATAGTTTCTGAAGCCTTGCTGAATAGTTTTGATAGTGTCAAAGTGGGGTAAGAGCCCTTCTGGAATCCTTTTTTTCTATCTTCAATTTCGCGCGAAATTTATCCTATAGGAACGATGTCGCATTCTCAACATTTTGTAAATATAACTGAAGTGTGAACTGAGATCTGTATATTTGTTTGGGTATGTTGTTTTCTGAAAGTGGTTATGCCTAACTGATCATTTTCTTTCAGTTCAACTAGACAATCAAGAAAAAAGATTTTATTTTCCGAGAAGTTTTGGACATTTGAATGTTACTAACTGACTCAACACCTCCCTGGTTACCCCTCTGGCGTTTGAAGCTTTAGGTACTGGAGTGGAGTCATTCTGAGAACATCATCACTCACTGAAGGCACATTCAGCTGACCAATGACAAATGGGACGAAAGATGTGTCCTAGATCTCACTGCTAGCTACCACTACGTATATAACCGACTGACTTTTATCGAATATCTTATCATTGTTAGCACAAACGCTCCCTTGTATTGAACAATATCGATATATAACAACTGAATACGACAAAGAAGTTATGGAAAAGAACATTGATGATTGAAATCTCTTCAGAAAACAAAATATTCCCCATCTTGCTGTCAAAATCAAGTACATGAACTAAATGCTTTTTGAATTTCTTCTGTAGCTTATTGATCAGACTCTTCGTTATTAGTGGAGGTATAGATTGAAGAGATTCACAGAAGCTTATTATGACTTCATATAAATTGGATTGATCTTTACTATACTGATGAGACCTCTACTGAGTGTATCCAATTCTTCTGCCTACTTCAAAGCTTCTTATTGTAATAGTAATATCTAGCTACGTGTTCTGTGAGGTCAATCAACACGCATCATTCATTTTTACACTCGAGCAGTTACCTGAAGAGGCTGTTGCGGGGAAGCGAACTATTCTCATGTAATATAAAGTAAGTACAAGAGCAAGCTAGAAATAAAAGATTTGAATTGAATACATCGATCAACAAATATTATAAGCAAACAAATGAGTTTTGAATGTTACTCTGCAGACGAATAAAACTATTTGGAGACAAGTTGTACGAAAATTGACTGAGAAAGGGTAAATATACATTTTCAGAATTGAATGCTCGTGGTAAAATGAAACTTGATAAAGCATCTGTGTACTCAAATTTCAGGACCTCGTGCTTCGATGAAGTAATTTCGGAGTGCAGAGAGATATTGATTAACGTTAGGATCTGAGTATATTCCCAGTCAACCATCACATTCCATCTATATCAGAAAAATCATATGACTATTGGTCAAGTTAAGGGATAAGATAATGCGATGAAATCAATGGTAACTAGCTTTGAGATGAGCCTGAAAAAACAAGCCACAAGCTGAATACATATAGAGCAGTGTTTTTGTTCAGTGGTAATCTATTTATAAACCTTCTACTGACCTACTTTCTTTCACATTTCAGTGCTATCAGACAACAAGTAAAGTGGAATCTTAAGGCTATTGTACAATTGTTCTCAAATGTATATTCACAAACAAGATGTATCAGAAACCGATTCCGGTTACTGTAGTTCACCTACACAAGACAACATATGGTTTCTTGCAATTTCGAATTTCGTCTGAAGAAAATATGTTGTCGCCAAAGCAGTCACTAAAATAGATAAACGCATAGTCTTTTTATTAAACATTTGGTTTCATAACTACAACAGCAACTCTACAATATAAGTATGCACAAAAACAATACCATTACCAATAGTTACAATAATAATGATAACAATAGTAATAATAATCACCAGCGTCTTGATTGCAAGGAAGTAATTGTTTGTGTTTACAGCCAAACTAATTCATGAATTTCGATTATTGTATTTTTACTTTTGTAAGGCAAGATGAAAGTAGTACACATTGTATAATTGACCAAACTAATACTGATGTTTGTATGCAGCAAGTGGTAAATGAGATAAACATTGTTTGGTGAGTGTTGTTCAATATCCCATGCTTTATCAAAGCATGAAGAGTAGACATGTCTTAAAAGTATTGTTTCTTCTCTCCTTGTTCGCTTTGTTTAGAATAAAATACTGAACAGAGGATAGAGAACAACGATATCAAAATCAAGAGGTTAGCGAAGACACGAGGGCAGAAGAAGGAAACAAATTTAAAAAAAATCGACTAAGACAATCTTCATATGTCCATGAGGATTCGATAAAATCACAGTTTGATCAAGTGGTATGAGAACTTTGTTTTTTTTAGTAGGATTTGGCAAAATGAGCAATAAAGATACAAAAGCCTTCTAGTACAAACGGTTGCTTTATAATGATGTATATTTCATAACCGTAATAAATTACCACGTAGTATTTTCAGTCGTCTGAATCAAATTCATCATACGCACCATCGGATCTGGCGACAGAGATAACATTGGTGCTCGGACTAGCTGCTGAAATAAAGCACACAAAATTAACAAATTATCCCGAGAAGACAAAAAATACTTGTGGTAGACATTATTTCATTAATTAAGAAACCAGGTATTTCACTATTCATTCTGTATACTCAACATATTAAGTAATAATATTAAACCTTTCTGTAATAAACATCCTAATAATAGACCTTAGTTATCATATTTTAAGTGAGATTTGAAAACTAGCCTTTTCACCGTTATAAACTTCAAAAAAACAAGACGAATTACTGCATTTTGCTCTATGAACACAATCTAGAAAAGCCACATCTAATAAACAGACAAAACAACTTTTAACTCAGAACAAAGTATGCGATGGTTCAAGTAGTTTTACTTAGCAACAGTGCAAAGAGAGAAAGCGGGAAAAGTAATAACAAGAGAAAGAAAGAATAGTGTCAGAAACAGGAACAGTGAGTGTATATGAATGTGATGTTCAATTCTTTGAGCCAGATGTGCAACTGGTAAATCCTGACCACTTTGATCGATTTTTAAACATACAACTGGGTTTCCACCCTATGAACTGCAGGATGTAGTGGGTTTCAATCAAGTCGCTAATTAATACTGCCACATAATCGTAGATATTAGGACTTTTCATAGAATTCCAACTTACAAGAACATCAGGTTATAAAGAAAACAAGGCCGTCCATTCGTCTTTGTCAGTAAAGTATGAAAGTAAACCAATGAACAAGTTTAGTAACTTAAAATTTGACTGCGTTAATGAGCAGTTTTACATGATATTATTGTTCATGAACCGCCTTCATAGGACGAACCAAGTAATTTATCACTCAGCAAGCATGAAGCTTTCAGTTTTATTTGACAGATACATACTCATTTCATGGAGTTGATGGATTTGAAATAAAATACTAATAATATTTAGAATGTGGGATGATAAACACAAAAGTAAAATATTCAGTTGAGGGCATACTAAAGTTAGGTCACATTAGCCTAATTAATACCAACCGTAAGTTAACAAATAGGTGAGCAGCATTTAGAATTAACACTGTATATCAATTCCTCTGAATAATTAAAATATTATAACGAAGCGTAATGAATATCGCTTCACTAATGTACACTATACTGAGATAAAAGTGATCTATCTTGAGTCCTCTACATGATAAAATGTCTTAGCAGCAGGCAGCTAAATAAATGAGTAGATTTCATATTCCGTTGCCGGAAGAAACTATTCAGCATTGTTACACCCATTTGTTACTGATTACATTATTCTGTTTGCAGTGCAGCCATTACTTCATAGACTGAGTTACTAACTTGACACACTGTATGAACTTAGAGGACTACAAATATTCTTTGTTGACTACCAAGGAATTCTTGGCTTATTTTATGTGTTCAACGGTAATCATATGTAAGATATGTAGTGCAGTTCGAGGAAATTGATAATCTGTAAGAGATTCTGATTTGTGCCACCAAATAAAGTCGTTATCGTTGAAGTATTCGGGACGACAACTAAGCGACATCACTTGTGCATTTTCTAATTATTTATTTTCAAATAATATTTGATGCGTTTCCCATACATAGTAAAATTCATGGATACTTTTATAGGTATATTTTTGATAATGGTCAAACTAAGTGAAGTTGTATTCACTAATATCTAAAAATACTTACAGTAAGGAGAAGGTTTCATTAGGAATATATTCAATACACGTACGATGAGCTTACGGGGAATATCAGCCGTAAATGTTTTCCACTGGTAGGAATACAATGCATTCTTAGCCCATGTTATAAGGCAGAACACATACACAAACAAGTTTTTTAGTGCGTCTTATGAGTCATTCAGCAGAACTGAATTTAATGGTTACGATATGAAAATATTGGGCAAAAAGTAAGGTATATCATCTGTGCGCACAACTAACTAACTGACTAACTGGAAAGCGAGTTTATTCTGTGTGAATTAATCAAAACAGTAAAGATGACTTTCCTTGCCTAATTAACATATAGACCTAATCAAACTTGTCATCAAGATAATAGGTTCTAGCCATAAACATTATGGGCAGCCATTCATGTTCCAGTGAACAGGATACAAGTGGCACAGAAAAATGGAACTTGAAAGGTAATAACGTACAAAATAAGCAGTTTACATAATAAATATACAATTTAAAACGTTCAGATTGATGTGCTTTTTAATCTCCGAAAATTTTTTATTTGAGCACAATTTGAGCACAAAAGGCAGATGCATTTGTGGATTGGTAATAATGGCTTCATTACTTAAGGCATTTGAAACAACAATAAAATAAGGATGCCAATTAAACTGATGATTTGTGTGGAGGGGACCGTTAACTGATTTTAAGGTAGTATTCATCATGGATTAGCATCATTTAAAGAACCACTGAAAACTTGGAAACTGTGGACAGATTTCACATCCTATTGTTGGATTCGTCACCAGTGCACACTGACAACCCTACGAGGAGAAGTCAAGCCAAGGATCTTCAGGTCTTGATTGCATTGTATTCTCTGAGATGGGTTGTTTAATTGTGAAGCTTTCATCATCCTTCTAGACGACATCATCAGCACTAACTTCAATATGAAGGCAGCTGTCAATATCTCTCCGTGAGTGATTTAGTAGCTTGCTGTGACAAACTGGTTTGTGATTGGTTGTTTCCTTTAGTTGTTGTGTCATTGACTGTATAAATTTTCCCGTTGGCTATTCTTCAGCTTGACCTCTGACCTTGCTGTCATTTACCCTTTTCCTCATTAGTTGATAGATTGGGTCTATGTGTATACATCAATTGATTGCTGACTGACCTGAGTGCCAAGCTTATAGAAAGTCTCTGCTGTTCTTTGTGTTTCCTCTGTCCGAAATTTCTACGTTATCAAATTGAATTCATGTCCATAATTATCCACGTGCATTGAAATGAGTGAGGAAATATCATGGCGTTTAATGGCCAATTGATGTTTTTGTAGACAAAGGCGAAGAGGACGACCACTTTGTCCAATGTAGTGTTGACTATTGTTGATTTTACGAATGACATTCAGTTTGTCTTTGGTTGTTGCATCCTTTGGTCTGCATAATAGTGTTTGGAGAGAATTTGTTGGGTTATGAGCCACGTCAATTCCAAGTGGTCCCAGTAATTATGTCGTGATTTCTGATATATTCTTTATGTAAGGTAGGATGATGAGTTTGCTGATTTCTATCGATGACTTTATAGTTGATAATGCACGGGATAAGCATCGTCTGATAAAGTTTCGTGTGTAGCCATTCTTCTTAAGGGTGGATTTCATATAATTCTCTTCGTTTCTCTGTAACGTCGTTGTACTCCTGTATTCTCACTCTTTTGAACAGAGTCTGCACGCAACCAATTTTGTTCGTTGTTGGGTTGTTGCTACCACAGTTGGTGATTTGATCAATGTGTCCTGGCTTCCTGTGTTTCCAGATTTCCAGCATTTGTCCTACTTACTAAAACATCCAGGAATGGTGGTTGACTGTTTGGGTCTTTCACCATCGTGAATTTGACGTCGTTGAAAACGTTGTTGGTCAAACTGTGGGTGTTTTCTGTATTATCTTTTTTAATGATGACAAAAGTGTCGTTCACATAGGGAATCCAAAATTTTGGTTTAATCCCAGGTAGAATGATGGCTTCCAGTCTCTGCATCACTGCTTCTGCGATTAGTTCGGATATCGGTGAACCCATTGGAGTTTCTCTCATATGATTGTATATCTTGCCGTTGAATTGGAAGTATGTTGTCGGACAAAGGTCGATAATTTCCATCAAACTTGAACATTTCTGTTTTGTACGTTCTGAAAGGTTTGTGTCTTCAATGAGCAGGAAGGAGGTAGTTTGCTTGGCCAGTTGGGGTTCGATGGATGTGTGTAGTGCTGCAACATCGAAGGATACCATTAATTCGCCATTTTCTATGTTAACGTCTTTGATCTTTTCAAAGAGTTCTGTTGAAGATTTGATGGAATGTCCGCATGACTGAACAAGGTGTTTCAATTTTCTGGAATGTTTCCATGATATGTTGTATATTTGAGTTTCGGGAAGTGAGACCATTAGTCGTAGATTGATGTCTGGTTTGTATAGTTTTGGTCTGCCGTAGAACCGTGAAGGACAGGTCCATTCGATTTCATTCGTCATTTGTCTTGCTTTGTTATTTTTTCTGCTTTGAAGAGTTTGTTCAAAGTCTTATTGATCTGGTTGTCAAACTTTTGGATAGGGTTGGTTTCAAGTGACTGATACACATTTTCGTCTTTGGGTAAATCCTCTGGCTTTTTGATTTAGTCTTCCATTTCCAGGACGACCATAGTGCGTCATTTGTCCGTCGGAAGTATAACGATATCTTTTCTATTTTTCAGTCTTTCTAATGTTTTCTGTCCTTCAGTGTTCATTTGAGCGTGATGTCTCCTCTGCCTGATCAGTGGTACGATTGTTTGTCATATTTCTCGTTGAGTGACTTCATTTAATCCTGATGTTTAAGCAATGTTTCTAATGCTGCGAAAAATTCCGGTTTGGAGGCATCTGTGTCGTAATTCAATCCTTTCTGAAGGAAAAGTTCTCTCATTTTGTTAGTGGTTGTTTTGATAAGTTCGCAACACAGTCGTTTGTTTTCTGAATGTGTGCTTCTGAGATTTTGAGCAGGTTTATTCTAAGGGCTTTCTTTCGTCATTCTTTGTGTCATCTAATTTATTTTTTAATTGCCGTTGTTAATGTCGTCATGTGTTGTGACATGAGTATGCCTTCTACTTTTCTCTGTTGATTACTAATCACTAACTGGTATTTCCGGATCCGATGATATGCATCTGTGATCAATTGTACCATTTGTCTTCCACTTTGCTCAGGTATTTTCCACCCTATTGGACAGTCAATCGATGATCTGTATCTTATACTTTTCAGCAGAACATGCTGACGTAGGCACTCATGGAAAAAGAATAGTTGTTCTTTTATGGAAGCTTGCCTCTTGGAGAAGTCCTCTCATCTTCGAACAACGTGAAGCGTGTTACGCTCGTGTGATTTTGAAATGATGGAGAATATTTATAGCTCAGATGGATAGTCTTGACTGTATTGTGTTTTCTGAGCTAGGTTGTTTAGACGTGGAGCTTCAGGTCTGGTGGAGTGCATGTTACTGCTAGGCCAATTAGTTGGAATCTAATTGTTCACCTATTCTTAATTCCATCAACATCGTCCAATGGCATCGGTGAGTATCTGTCCTTACATCCGACTTAGTTTATCCCACAGGTCGCAGCTTCCACTATAACTTCTGAAAATGCATCTGGAAGCAGGTAACTAATAAGCACTGCATAGTAAGCTATTTAACTAGGGGTTTCTTAGGGACTAACTGATTTCAAGACGGCACTCATCATGAGCTGTAATCGGTTAGATGATCAAAAAAAGCCTAGGGATATATAATCATTGAACATCATCATTTTTCGCATTCTGTCGTATCAAATATTCCTCATGTATCTACGATCATTGAGTCATGATTCCTTATTGGCTTATGGCTCAATCTAAGCTTAGATTTTAATGACTGATAAAAATGACGATGAAAGCTTGCTAGGTTTTTTAAGCACTTCAACAGACTAAGCCTAATTGATTCACTAAGTAACTTACTATACTTATTACAATTTATGAGCCTAACCTTAAAAATACTTACTCTGCAGAGTCTCAGAGGTCAAACAGTAATATGAAGGGAATAATGACCCAATTTCTGAAACTTTATAGTATTTTCACGAGAAGCTAAAACGGTACCAGCAAAATCAACAGTACTCCGAGTTAGCATTTATGAGACAAGATGATGATCAAAGGTAAAATGTAAACCTTAGCAGCAGGAGTTCAACCAATGATTTTTGGGCTACGAACCAAGCACTCTACCAGATAAGCTAAAAGACCCAACTGTTAACTAAATTTTGTTTTAACTTCAACCACTGAAGGCTTTACCTGGTTGATATGCATATCTATGGTACCTAAATGCTTGCGTATCATTACATCAGCTGTCCATTAAGGTTTTCTTATCTGGTACTAAATCCACCAGAATTAAACAGGAGCTTTCTATTAAATATTTGGGAGACTATCTGAGATAGCTGGCTGGTAATCAGACTAAATGATTGGATATAAACCAAAGAAAGTCTTGTTTGAACTAGGTTCCGTACTTGTAGGTACTCGTCAAGGCGTATTTGATCGACCAATCAAAGTGCATGACGATAATGAGTCTCCTAGCTTGGTGGTCGTATGATGAAATGACCAAAGGAGTTCGGTTAGCAATTAGGACTAGACAACATGAAACCGAGTACTCCCCAGTGAACAATCGATATGGAAACCTGACAAGTAAGCTAGAAGTCTTCGTTGTATTACTACAGCTACCCAGGAGTTTATTCAACTTCAATTAGCATCCATTATCATAGAGTCTGTAAAAACTCTATCATCTCAGATAGTATTAATAGGTTAATGTATAGTGAGTCGGAGTATTTGATAAATTAAATTAGTCGCTCAGCAGAATTCGGATATAATGATATTTACTAAAGCAATATCAGGAAATCAGATGTAAAATAAGGATGCGGAGACGAAGATATATATCCGAATATCTCGTGACAGATAAATAGGCAGGCAGACAGGCACAGACAAAATCAAAGGAGAACTCCACACAGAGGAACATTGATTCAAGTTGCTAAACTTAACAGTAGCATACAAAGAAGTGGGTAGAAAAGGGTTGGTATCAAAAATAAGAGAAATGCACGGCAGGAAAAGGAATTTAAAAATAAAGTTTTATGAAAATACTCAACATTTCAAAGATATCAAGGAGTGAGTACATCTACACCATTGTAACTGATTTTTGTATACAATATATTACCAAAAGGTTACAACCATTGATTCCTCTTTTCTTGAGGGCCAAAACCAAGTAGTCTACACCTCCCTATATTACTTATAGAATTTATGGACTAGTACTATGTCCCGATCTGGTCACTCTGAGCCTTTTTAATCCCCATCAGACCGCGGTCTTTGTTGCTCATCAAAGTAAGGGGTGACTTGGCATGTACAACACTTGTCTAGACCACTTCAGTCCAAGAAAGTTCACAACTTCATTGACCAACTGGCTTGCATTTTCAATTGTTCTCTGCCTAACTGTGACATTGCTCACACAATGATTTCACTTTACGTGAGCAATGCTGCGAAGACACCTACCTTCAAAACCCTGTATTTTCTTCACATCAACTCCCAGTAGTTATTTCTCAAAGCAGCAAAATACGATAGGGCAAACTGAAGTGCAGTATACTCTTCCCTAATACGTAGTCGGATATCTCACCTGCACCAGAGACAATGCAAGTTGATTGATGGTAAAAAGACCTTTATCCAAGCTGAGATTTTGTCAGCAACCAACGGGTTCGGACTGATGCAAATCCTAAGTGAAGCGGCCAATAAATTCAACCACTTCACTTCCTATCTTTTGACTGGAAGTAGCTCCAGATCAGTTATAAAACATGATCTTATATGTGACTGGGGTTAAACGCTTGCCTAACACACTCATGATGTTCAGAAAACGTTGCCTTTTGTCAGCGTCTTCGCCTAACAGGACAATATATTCTCTGTATTACAGGTCAACCGGATGCTCTAAACTGAGTAGATTGATTCCTGTGAACTTAGAGGTATCTCACATCACGCTCATTAATACATCTATGAGGAAGTCGAACAGTGACAGAAAGCGTCGTTGGCGGACACCAGTGTTTGAGTCAATTTAGATGACAAGCATCCAGAAACCCCTGCTTGGTCGTATCAGTTCAGGGAGATAGCTTTGCTTAGCGCTACGAACTCGCTTGGTACTCCATTCACAGTCCAACACTGCCACATTACCTCGTAGTCAATAGATTCAACTGCAGCCTAGAGGCCAAGAAATATGGTAAGTGTCAGCCACCAGTTCATGTGCCTGTTTGCAACGCTCATTCCTTGATGTCCTTTCATTCCAGAAAGGTCGGTTGAATAGTGGAGAGACAAAAAGCATTTATTTCCATAGATTAGTTAGCTACGTTGTGATCGGGTCGTACTGCTGACTGGACGGGATATAACAGCATCATGATGTTTCCCAAGGACGATCAGAAGTATCATGCTGATTCTGTCTTCCCAATAGGAATAGCAGCTAGAAACGGTCGCCCTTTAAGATGTTTAACTCTTCCCTACCTTGCTATATCCCGGTACCAGTGGTATGGCTTTGTCTTGTCCAACGTTAACATAATGAAATCCCAATCTAAGAATCTTTGGATACACTTTACGTGACTTGCAAGTAATGTGGAGCGTGAAGTGCAACTACTTTATTTTACAATGTTTTCAGAAACGATTAAACGCCATCAGCTAGTGTGACTCTGTAAATCAAGATGAATAAAACAATTTCTAGAAGGGATAAAACGTCGTACTCACCTTTTGAATTAGTACCCCATAAACTAGTTGCCAATGTGTTGCTTAGTTCTGGACTTCCAATAGATGTGTGCTTTGCAGTCGGCTGTTGTCGGCCTAATCCACCTAATCTGGTTACTGGACGAGGACCTAGTGCACTTGTTTCTGCATGTGCTGCTGCCACACTAGGATCTAAAGATCGACTTACTCCAACTGGACCTACTGTATGTCTAGGTGATACTTCTGGAGCTATTGATAGACTGTTGTCTTCAGCTAAACCGCCATTGATCGATGACACACTGAATATATCTTCATCATCTAATAGAGGAAGAAGTCAAAGATTGTTACATGGTAATAAATTTTACTAAACTCAGACAAGAAGTAGTTATGTGACTTGAGTTTCTGAATATTTCTTCTGATACATACTTTTATATAAATCGTTTATATCTCTCATACATAGAAAAGTATCGCATAATGTGACATGAAAAACTAAATAAGTATCATGGAATCTCTCATCCAGTCAAAAGATCTTAAGCCTTCTTAAGGTAGGACGATTCAAGTCATTACTATTCAGGTATTCGAAAGCAATTTTGAATAGAAGATGATTAAGCTACATCACAAAATGAGTAGAAATACAAAATACTGCACACAAAACTGAGTTCAGATGCTGGAGACAATTATAAGTTATCAAAATACTCAGAATTATTCCATATCGCACAGGTCAAGTTACAGTTTGCCAACAACTAGCATCTTTACTAAATGAATCAAATTTCGGATACGTTTTTTACTGCTAAATAATTATGATTACTACAGTAATTGATCTGCTTAAACTTTGGGCTACTGATAATTTTTGACGGAATTTATTTGACTAAATACATTCCTTTAATTTGTTTTAATCTGATAAATGTCTTTCAGGCAGATCAAGTACTTTCGTGCACTTTTAAAATGGTTTCAAACTGCCATTTTTTAGAAAAAGACTGATTGAGCGAAGAAATATATTTCTTTTCAATTAGGTCTTCATCTTGGACTCTACACTAATACATAGGTTTACAATTCAATCAAATTACCAATCACGTGGTGTTTCGGAAATAATGACGTGAATAATCTATAGGGTTACCAAAATAGGAAATATGAATATTGATGGAAACAAGAAGGGGAAGAGGTGCACAAAATAAACCTAGAAGTCACATCATGTTGACGGCCACGGTAATGAAAGTGGCCGAACAAACTTCTTTTGGATACAAAGGCCAGGTTTGTAAAGGTGGATTGCAATCGCCTCTGCTATATGAAGTAACCGAGTGCGTAATCCATGAGGTAAATTAATTGGAATCTGATGGATAATTTTGAAGGCTTTTCCAGTAACTACTTGATGTCCTGTGTCAACTAAATGTGCAAATATGGAGCTCTTTATAATTCTAATTTGTCCCTTGTTCAACCATGATGGGTGATGCTCAGAAATTCGACGATGGAACTGCCTCATTGTACGCCCAATGTAACTCGCTCCACAGGAGCAGTTGAATTGATAAATGCACCCATCATGGTTGAACAAGGGACAAATTAGAATTATAAAGAGCTCCATATTTGCACATTTAGTTGACACAGGACATCAAGTAGTTACTGGAAAAGCCTTCAAAATTATCCATCAGATTCCAATTAATTTACCTCATGGATTACGCACTCGGTTACTTCATATAGCAGAGGCGATTGCAATCCACCTTTACAAACCTGGCCTTTGTATCCAAAAGAAGTTTGTTCGGCCACTTTCATTACCGTGGCCGTCAACATGATGTGACTTCTAGGTTTATTTTGTGCACCTCTTCCCCTTCTTGTTTCCATCAATATTCATATTTCCTATTTTGGTAACCCTATAGATTATTCACGTCATTATTTCCGAAACACCACGTGATTGGTAATTTGATTGAATTGTAAACCTATGTATTAGTGTAGAGTCCAAGATGAAGACCTAATTGAAAAGAAATATATTTCTTCGCTCAATCAGTCTTTTTCTAAATGTCTAAATGAGAATATTCAATGCCATTTTTTAAGCTAAAAGTAAAATAATGAATAAACGATACTCCGGTAAGAGATAGACTTATAAATGCAAAGAAATACAGTTTTGATACTGGAAGAATAAACCACCACCACCAAAATTACGCTCGATATTCTATTCATTCACCAGCTCAAACCAGATGCTAATTTAATATCACGTGCCTGTTTCACACTCTGGCTTTTATTACTGTTATTATTAACAGTGTTCAAATGGAATAATTATTGCGCTTTAAGATATTGTACAGAGAATGAATTTGTTGAACTATTATATGCTGAGAATTTCATACTGTACCACGAGTCTTGTTTAAAATAAAGCTATTATTATTGTTAAATTGTTATAGGTAGAAACGTGATTAATGTTTCTTAATTTCATAGGAAAAAGTCGGTTACTTCTTTAAATGAATAAATTTGATAAAAGGTGCAAAGCGCATTAATCTCAGCTGATAGTTTCGTATGTTAAATAAAAGTCAGGATAAGATTATTAAAGTTACTTTATCGGAAAAAAATATACCATCGAAACTAACCTGTTTTAGACTTTGCCCTTTATATAAACTAGATTTAATTCCTGGAGGATTTGGTGGAATTGATGCATTATTGTTCCCTGGTTGAGAGTACTATTATTAGTCACGATCCTGGATTTATTGTAAGATATTCCTTGATTTATAGGATCTGCCAGTTTATATGATGCACTAGATGATCTTAATCTTTAACAAAATTAAAAAAATTATGTTAAAAAACAATGTCTAAGAAAAACTGGTTTCAGTTGGATGTGAGATCACTTAGAATATTATTAACTGAATGTTTGCAATGGATGAAGATTAAACATTTAAGGGTAAACGTACATACTCGCTTTTTGTAGCCATTTATCCTCAACATACTTATAGTGTGTCAACAGTCAGTTAACGTAAAACACAGTTTGAGTTTCATCCCATGCTTTAAAGTGCATCCGCAATACTTAGAATATGCATGTTTCCTAACATATTCAAAATGCATTCGGAAGTCCTGAAGTCACGCACTTTGACAATAAGTTATTCAGTTTAATAGTGACATTCTGAAGTACTGAACCGTCTACGAACCGGTTCAAAGATGCAACAAGTGTGGATGTCAAGTACTTGGTGCTATGTGATAATCAGTCTCTCAACCACGTTTGTTGATTTAATTTTGATATCTAACAATGAAATCTACAACTCCATGTTGTAATATCACTAGCTTTGGCATTACATTACAAACTTAACCAAGTAGCTATGATTAGGACTCAGTAAACAGTTATACTGGTTAGCCTTGGATGAACAATTTTTATACACACATGTGTCTTGGATATGCGGATTTCGTAAAATATGTCAAAGAAAAGGTTTCAACTGATATACTGAGAATTTTACTGCAAAAGCATTCCATTATATCCTAAACAAAAAGGTATACTGACTAAGATCAATTAATGTGTACCTTTATGTATACTCATGATCAAAACAACGTGCTTATAAGAAGATAAGGTTACTTAGTCCTTTGATTAATAACTTGTGGACTAAAAATATTTTTGTCTTGGTCAAACAAATTCGTCATCACTAGGATAACTGAACTACATTTTCAATCATACTTGTATGTTTTGAATGGATACAACAGGAACCTCAAAGGTTTAGTTATGAAACAGATATCCATAAAGCTTACTGTTGTGCCTTATTGATTTCTGCAGCAACAGCATTCAAATCTTCAGTTTCCGAATCCCATTCATCACTGCTAGGTACAACTGATAAATTACGATTTGTAGTCGGTTGCTCTCCAAAAGTCACAATTCGCTGATCATGACTAAAATGGATTTCTGGGGAATTCAGCAACGTTTGTTTCTGCTGACTATTATTACTGTTATTATTATTATCATTGCTGAAATGTGATGGTGAATTATTTTGAGAAGTCGTTTGTAGCTGTGGTGTACTTGAATTATACTGTTTTGCAAAATATTTTTCAGATTTTGTACCATGATTTCCTTCTTCACCAATATATTCTAGCTGAGGACTTGAGCGTTGTAGACGTAATCTGTGTGAGAAATAATATGTAAACATTCACACAATTTTAAACAAAATATTAATTTAGGTGAACGAAGCTTGGTTGTGGTAGCAGCTGAGTGGCACAGATCAACTCAAATTGCATTGATGTGCTCAAATCAAGGTCCTTAAAATCAACTATATTACAACATAGTCGTGATTTGACACTTCGTTATCATTATAATTCAGAATGTATGAAACTAAAAAATGACAGAATTAGAGATTCATAAAAGTTTATAAGAACAACTGCAAAGTGCTAGTAGAGCTACAAATGAATGAATTTTAGATTTTTGTACTGGGTAAACGCAGCCAGATGTCTCTTCGTCAAACAGCTTGGGTCATAAGAATTTTGAGTCGAAACGACAAGAGTAACAGCATATTGGCTGAGCAGATAGGAAAAAAACATAAAATTAATTTGACTAATGTCGTGTCCAAGATCCCAGGACCTGTAGTTATTCCATGCCAAACTAGAGCTCAGTAGCAGTAAACTCGAGAAAAACAAGAAGTCTTAAAACCTAAACGAGGGTGCATCGATCATATTTTCACCATACAACAGTTCCAGGAACGCAGGAGCAACGACCGACAATCTCCATATTTCTTGACCTAAAAGCAGCATTCAGCTTTGGCAACGGCGAAGTGTTGCCACTGTCGGATTACGAATGGAGTACCAAGAAAGTATATAAACGCTAATCAAAGCTCTCTACTCGAACTCACACAAACGTGTAAGAACATTTGGAGAGTTGTCATCAGGATTGATGAGGAGTGGTGGTGTTTGCCAGCAATGTCCACTGTCACGGTTCCTTTTTACCTTCGTTACAGACATACTAATGGACATAACCCCATGTACGTCCGATATCACAGGGATTAGCCTAATGTCTGGAGGCCATTTAGTTGACATGGAGTACGCAGACGATGTTGTCCTGCTAGTTGAAGGCGCTGACAAAATGCAGGGTCTTCTGGACACGTTTAACAGAAACCAGAGTGTGCTTGGCATGCGTTTTGCTGATAACTGACGAATATTAGATGATGCTCCAGGACTGGTCTGCTGTAAGTACTCCCAGATTAATGATAGGGAGTGAAGTGGTGGAGTTTGTTGACTACTTCATTCACTGGGAGAGGTGAGTCAGGCCAATCGGGCTGGTTGCTGTGGAAATCGCACCTCGGATAGAGAAGGCCTGTTTAGCATTTTTTGACTTGTCACCTGTGGTGCCGACTGGTGAGATATCTGACTACCTAAGAAAGAATAAGTTAACTGCACCGCAGTTAGTTCCGTTCAGTTATACGGCTGTGTGATAGGGCCACTAAGAGTTAAGGACATGAAGCAGTTACTAGGTTTTGATCATATGTATCTTCGTAGCATTTTTCGTATGTGGTGAAATCACCATGTTAGCAAATCTGAAGTCAGGTGAAGGACACTAGGCAAGACAGGTAAGTCACTCGATAAGGTTGTGAACCTAAGTCAACCGAGGTGTCTTAGACATGTACTGCACAGGCCGAGCCACCGTCTACCTCGACATGTCATGCTTGGGAAGCTAGATTAGGTGGAAGAGGGGTCAGAGTGGCCAGACCAAGACGTGGTATCAGTCTAAGTCCATGACTGTTGATCTAAACCATGTGGGGAGATGTAGACTAGCAGGGTGGTGGCCTCGAGATGATGGAAATCAGTGGTTGGAGACTGTTGGTGACATGGATGAAAGTCGGTCGCAACGGCGAAGGTGTACTTCCTGCTTGACACCTTCTAAAGCTTGAATATTCACACCAAGCATTTTCTTCGGATTTTTTATTCTTTCACGCAACTTTATCTGATTTGATATAACTTTTTTCTATCAACTTATTCTTTTTAAACTACTATGAAGTGCGGCAACTTGAGCCGATTCACTTGCTTGAAAGACTATACGTTGATTTTGCCTCTCTGTCTGCTTCAGTTGAGATTGATGCTGTTTACAGTACCATTGTAAAATTGGGGTTGTTAGGAAAAGAATAACAACAAGGTAGACAAAGGTGTATCATAGAATGGAACATAAATAGATCATGGTTGATTGAAGTATCCAATATTTCAAAGAAACCAAAGAACGTAGATGTCTAAGCCACTGAAACTGATTTTTAACCTTATCACTGGTAGTTTGTAACCATTGATTCCTTTCGTCCCAAGAACCCCAGCCAAGCAATTGACATCTCCCTATGCAGTTGAAACCAGTAGTATGAACTGGCACCACGTCACGGTATGACTTTCTTTATTTTCTACTGCATTCAGCTTTGGTTAACATCACACGACAATGTAGGCAAGGGTTCAAATTGCACGACATATATACAGTCAGTTAGTGAAATTTCACAACTATATCGACTAACCTTATTTATCAAACACTCTATACCTAAAGTCGAAATTATTCTCAACATGTAAATAACATATGAGCAATAATAAAAACATATCAGTGTTCCAAACCCGTAACGTTTTCATATTTTCTACTTTCCAAGGCAGAATAAGAGGGAACACCTGAGCAGTATACATTTTCTTCGGTATGTTTTCAGATTTCTCACTCTTCCCATAAGTGAAGTGAGGTGGCAAATGCCAAACGAACCTTTTGTATATGGAATAAAATTTCACCATCAGTCAACCCGTTCGGGATGATGCAACTCCCCAAGTAAGTGAAGCGGTCAGTGCACCAGGCCACTTCTACACCTATCTTTAAACCAAGAGTCTGTGAAGACTAGTTTAGAAGCAATAACTTTTGACTACTGTAAAATGCATGCCGAACATACCCGGGATTTTGATGGAAACACTCGGAGGGAAGCATATTGGAAAGGTTTCTATGTGTTAATGAGGTCAATCAACTACTAAGAGATTAAAAAAGTGTGGAACTTTGACCAAAAACCTCCGTTGTGAACCTGTTTACGAAGTAGGTTTTCTTTACTGCCTACTGCTACTAAGCCCCCAAGAGTATCTGAAATTATACTAAACTATCGATGCATTTCGAATTTGATCTTTTTTGCATCTTTCTGCGTCATCTCCAATGACACCATAATTTATTTAACTTTTAAGCCTATCCTCTTATGAGCCACCAAGACTATTAACCTATCAATTTTGTTCCTAGTAGAAGATCAAAAGTAATATACTAATACAAGAAAAACTGGCTTTCATCGAGTTCTTAGTAGCGAGATTCATCTTTTTTCCTTTCCGTGTTAGTTAGGGGTGAAGTTATCTGTTGATTTAGTAGGACCATTGTTAGCCACCGTTGCCCAGTCCTCTGGTCATTCAGTAAAAAATAATATTTGCATTCATTACAAATTTTGTGGTGTCATGAAATACCCTAACTACTCAACCTAGGACAAGTTATCTTACAGTTTTACTGATTTATATGAAAACGAGAAAATAAAAGTCTTTTTGTCACTTCACATGTAGTAACAGATGCAAGCATACGCCACAACACTGTCATATTTTATCAAAAGTGTCTTAATATCAGATAATAAATTACGAAGTGTGAAATATGTGAGAAACACTATAAATCTACATGACCGTGTTGTTCAAAAATCTTACTTTGATTCAGAGTATCCCACAGCCCTTCTGTGCGGTGAATTTATAATTTCTGCTATGTTATTTTGATTTTCACGAGTATCGCTATTTACTGATAGTATTGGTAAGGATACGCCCAAATTACTTGTGACATCCACTCTTTGTGTTGCTAATGGAAGTGTTCCAGCTCTTCGTAAACTTGCAGGACTATGAGCTGCAGGAGGAGGCAAACTAGACTTGTAAAACGTGTTCACTTTCTGATTATTTTCTCCACGCAATCTTGCTTCTGCCATACTTACTGTGCTACCACGAAGTGCTGCATGAGCCAGACGATCAACATGTTGAGCCAAAGCCTAGAATGACAAAATAAAGCAACTGTGAAGCATGAATATTCATATTACATAAAGCATTACAAAGTTCAGGCATTTTATGCGCATATTGCTTTGTAAATTAGTATTCTAGTGGTCGCCAAAATGTCTTTCATAAAAAGTCAATGCTTGAAGTAATGCAGCATTCTTACGAATAATTTAGTGTTCCATTTAGCAATTGAATGTCCAGTCCAAGGAAAATTATGCAAGGTTGTAGTTAGAACTCAGACAAACGAAGACACTTACAAGACGAAAAATGGTAGCATAAAGATACAGTTACGAAACTTCAGTCGACAATTTTCACTTATTATTATTATTAGTCCCATTGGTTCCTAATGGAACACAGGGCTTCAGTAGCACATCTCCATTCCACTCTGTTCTCTGAGATCTTTTGAACCTAGTTCCACGACAGCCCACAAGCTCTCATTTCCTCCTCGCATGATCTCCTCCATGTCACCCTCAACTGGGACGTCCAACTCATCGCCTCCCATGGGGATTCCACTCGAGGGCCTGGCCTGATGCGTGATGTCCCCAGTCGGCTTTCTCAGTGTATGCCCAATCCATCTCCACTTCCTTCCAGTGCATATTTGTTGAGCGATAGGTTCTTGGTTGGTCCGTTGCATGCCAGAGTTCGTTGTTGCTTATTCTTATTACTCTGGTCATCTGATCTTCAGTATCAGTATCGAGTGTAGGCGGCAGTTGTTGATGAATGTCTGTAGTTTATTGGAAATGCTTTTCGTAACTCACCAAGTCTCTGAACCATACAGAAGCACTGACTTGACGTTGGTATTGAAAATCCGGATCTTGTTCCACATGCTGAGTACAGGGCAGAAGATCTCCACACTGGTTTCAGGCTAATGAACACCTGTCTTGCTTTTCCGATTCTGAATTTGACATCTACGTCTGTCCCGCCACCTGTAGTTGCAACAGTGCTTCCTAGATAGGTGAAGGAGGTTACTTCCTTTAGGTTTCTCCCATTGATGGTGATTGGAGTTTGTTGTTGTTGGTGGTGCGGTATCTTCATCATCTCTGTCTTCTCTATATTCACTTGAAGTCCCTTCTTCGCTGCCTCTTCTGTCAACTTGTTAGTTTTCGCCTGCAGATCTTCAAGTTTGTGTGATATCAGGCACAAGTCATCGGCGAAATCCAAGTCTTCTAGGTTCTTTTCCGCAGTCCAGCCAGCGTATCCCCCTCTTCTCACAGCTCCCACTGTTTGTTGCATGATCCAGTCCACCACAATCAGGAATATCATGGGGGATAGTAGGCAACCTTGTTTCACTCCTGTCTTCACTTCAAAAGCATCACTGAGCTTCCCATTGTGAATTACTTGGCATGTGGCATCTTCATATAGTTGTTGAATGAGGCGGATAAAGGTTTGCAGTAATCTGTAGTAATGAAGCAGTTTCCGAATTACCTCTCGGTCGACGCTGTCAAAGGCCTTCTCAAAGTCGATAAAGTTGAGGTAGAGAGCTGATTGCCATTCTATGCTCTGTTCTATGATGATGCGAAGCCAATTGTCACTGACTTGTGGAATAATGTATGAACTTTCATATTCATAGTACACAGTGACAGAATAGGAAATTGGTCACTTAACATACAAATCAAAAAAGTACTGCGTTTTAGATCTTTGTAACAAGTCAGCGATGGAGCCAGTTGAAGTTAGAAGGCTACAGTGAAGAAATATGGTTCATGAATGACAGTCATGAATTAAGGAAATCTGATGGTGTTGATAATATTTGTTCACATCATTCCACTTAGTGTATTTCTCAAATCACATCGATAAACGTTGATAGGTGTACTTCATCTAGTCTACCACTTTCTAAGACAATATGCAGTGTTGGTTGTATTAAATTTATTCACACCTATTTACTCTATTTTAATCATTTATTTTAGTCTCATAAACTGGTATTTTTCTTTTCACATCAATAAAATCATGAAAACTGAATATAACGTAGAACTGGATCAGACCGTACATTATTATAGTCAACCAAAATATATGAACGCTAGAACAGATTTTATCCAGAAAAAATAGCAGCGGTGGGTTTGTTTTCGGCTCTCATTTTATAATTTCAAATGAAATGCAGTTTGTATTTGTAACACAATGTAAAACATACGTCTCGTATTTCCATGAAATTTGGATGCTTTTTAGCCAAGTGTTCTCTTTCTTTGTTCAAAGCAATTAACTTTTGATTAAGTTGACTTGTAGATAAACGATTCTGATCCTGTCTAATTCCACGTTCACTTAGTTGTTCTAATAATAACTGCTCAACTTCGTGACGAAGTTTGCGCAGAGTTTCTGGATCAGCACGCAATTGATCAAGTAAACGACTATAACGTAGCATATTTGTGCTCGCATTTAAACTAGGCGTTGGACCTATATTAAACAGAAAACATTCCATTAAAATATTGATAAATTATACACTTTGTAATTGCCAAGTTAGTATTCAATCTATTACTGATAATGGGTTGACTGGTTTGAAACCCACCTGATGTATCGAGATCTAAACAGCCAAGAAGTGTCATTAATCCTTCCTGGATAAATGTAATATATGACTAAGTGCGTGCGTCCGTCTACGGGCACTAAAGAAACGTTTTTTATCTACATCATTGAAACTAAATGTCAACAAATGTTACAAAAGGCCTCTTCTAAGTTGAATTTCACATTTTTTTGAAAAAGGACTAAAGAGAGTACTCCACTTACAAAATTAACTGCGATAAATAGTTTCATACTTGTGAATCAGTGACTAGAAGATGAGAATCTACGCTGCCTTGAGATATTAACTAAAAGCTTCTAGAAATCCACTTTGGTTTTATGAAACTCCGTAGTTTCATTACGTAATCGTGTTATGATCAGTAGTCCAGCTATCAAAAACAAAATTTACAGTAATGATGTAGGTCCTACGCTAATGACATTGAGTTGATACTCATCTACTAACTATTCAGCATAATATGGTAGCAGTAAATTAAATTATCGATTTAGTTCACCTAGTTTTTATTCTCTTCATGAAGCACCACCAACATCTTTGAAACCCCTTTTTTGAAACGGTATGATGCTTGGAATTTAATAGTTAAATAAACCAAAGCATACTTCAAAGTAGTTGGGAGAATAGTGGCTATCCTTAATACTGACTTTCCTCACTCGTAAACCATACCACAGGATATACTAAATCCTAGTTAATTATTTACGAAATCATCAAGCGAAAGGAACATTTCCAAATATATCAGAATGTAAATATAATAAATCACTTTTCTTGGTGTTTATAGAAAAAACAGCTCGATATTTAAATCCACCAAGTTACTCACTTGTTCCTCCTGATGTTGTTAATACACGTCCCATAGCTCTAGAAACTTGTTGAGCTTCTGATTCTTCTTTAACTTCTTGATCTGTTGCATCACCGAAATTCCGACTTGGTGAGTGATGCCTAACGAATCTTGCAGTTGATCCTGAGATTGTTGAACCATGAATAGTTGATTCTTTATCATCTATTTGGAAGTTGCGATGAGAATCAACTCCAACTTGTTCAGCATAATGACGATTATGTGCAGACTGTCGTATATTCCCACTAGCTGATGTGGCTCGATTTGGTCGGAGAAAAGGCTATCATAACGTGAGGATTATGAGAGAGTACACTTATATATATATAAGTAATATAAAAGGAAAATGTCTCACTGAATGCAATAATTAAAACGTAAACGTCTTCTGGTTCGGTATGGAACGAGTAGGGATAAAAATTATGGCAGTAAATGAGCAAATTATAGAATAACTGCAGATAAATGATCTTTGATCAAGTAGACCTTTTTAAAAATTCTTTACTCTACAAGAGAATAATTAATAAAAATATCATGTATGGTAAGCTCATCTACTACTCACCAACAGTGACATCCGAATATAAGAAAGTTAAACGCAACGTGCTTAGAAACACTTACGAAACCTTTTTTGTTTCCTTTTTATAGTTACTGATCAACTTTTAAAGACTGATTTCCATAAGCAATGAGGTTTTGTTTTACAGTCACGACATCACGTGACCAACAGTGGGACATTGATAATAAGATCAAAAGGATTATCATCAAACAGTGCTGAGTTTACATGAATGAGGAGGTTGCACGATTATGCATTTTTCAACACCTTCAAACATTAAAGTAAGAAAGAAATAATACAAAGTTGAGCTTAAAACTAGCACGTACAAATAAATAAAAACTACGATAGGATTGAAGAAAGTAATAATAAAACGGCACTATATATGGTGAAATTATTACATATGAGGCTTCAGAAAACTGCTTTGGTATGTCATACAGTACTTGCGTTTTTTGTCTTTTGTAATTGGTAGGGATTCGAAGCAGGTAAGATACAGCTATGATAATAAAGGTGGAAATATATCCTCAACGCATTGTGATATTTTACGACAATGTCCTAATCACTTATTGAATTCAGAATTCTACATATGACCCAAGATTAACTTTTCGCCGAATTCAAACAAAAAAAGCTAGTTAGATTATTCGAATTAGCCTGTTAATACGAGCGGTCGCCAGTAAAGTAATCATGTATACATACATTAACTTCACCCTCTAGAAAAATGAAAATATTATTTGGAAGCAGACAATAATAACGCAAATAATATGGCTTTCAAGGAACTCTGACAAAAATTAATTTCACAAAGTATAAATGATATCTAAAGCTAGATGAATTTTTGTCTGAATATTGTAATTTTCAATCAAAAACAGCTGAACTTCTTAAATGAACTTTAAGTTGTGCTATTCTAATATTAAACAGGTCAGTATCGTGAAAACTGGATTTTAAAAACATGCATTTTATTAGACTTACTGAACAATAGAAGTAAACTGGTAACAGGAGATAAACAAACAAACAAACACCCAAACAGCAATGAACACTAACTTGTCCCAATTCGTTAACAACCTCAAATGTATTGATACTATTTTTATCATTATAAGTATTACCATTTTTATTCATCAAAATTGCTGGAATCAAATGTACACTGTGATTATTATCACTTTTCTCGACATTGTTTACCACACTGTCATATTCGTCAGCAGTATGTACTATAACAATTTCTCGTGTTGTATTTTCATTTTGAATTAAACATTTTTTATTTGCTTTGAAGGAAACACCTCTTTTCAATAGATTTGATGATGGTGATTCAGATGACAGAGATTGTAAGGAATGTGCACGTTTAACTTTTAAGATTATTGGATTAGTAGTACTATCTGACTGAAAGTTGACATAAGTATTTTTGTTACTTTCAAATTGTTCACCAAAATGATGATGATATTTACCAGCTCCTACTTGGATTGCTGTAGAACGAAAATGTTTACGCTTACGTTTAAGTAAGGAGTTCATTTTAGATAAATTATTAGCTTTCTGAACTTCATAACAACTAGACTTCGATGGGAATATTTTATTGTTCAATGTCTCAGCACTGTTCATCTTCTTTCCCTTCAGTGAATAAGTTAATTTTTTCAAATCCTGAAGTTTTCTTTCTACGTTTTCATCTAATAATTCAGTTAAATCCTGTTCAGCTTTATCATCCTCTTCATCTGTGCGATTCCGCGAATTCCTTATTTTGAGTGAATGAACACTTTCAGTGCAAGATTTATTGGCTATGTAAATATCATCAGTTTGACTTCGTACACTTTGCTCAACCATTTCCGAATCAGTGCAACTTCCAGTCAGAGCACAATGAGCATGGTCAACTTTCAAAGGCTTCTGAATAGCTGATAGAATTTTAACTGGTATTTCAATAGACTGGTGACAATGATTACTTTCAACGATATCATTATCATTGGCATCCTTATGATTCAAGCCTGACTTTATACTGTTCTGAGGTAAAGCCCCAAATTCATGGTTAACCATTTCAATTGTCTGAGTTATTCAATTGAATTCAAAAGTAGTTTTAGTTTGGTAGCATAACTAAGTAATAGAGTTTAGTAAAAACAGTGTAACAAAATTACTGTTTAAAACTACAATTTAACGTTTACTGGAACCAAACGCAGCTACAAAACAGAAGAAGTATGTTATTACCGGTAAAGTTGAAGAACTATCAACAGCATTATCTTCTTATCGTGGTGTAAATGTTGACTTCTCACCTTGAAATGGGTCAAACGGCAACCATACATTTTGAACACTGAGCAACTATTTATGTATTTTTCTTCTCGTTGCTCCATGTTTTTACTGCTTATCTGGATGTTGTTCTACTTCCATTGGTTTTCTTCTACATTACTGGTGTGAAAAGGCTCAGAGTGAGTTGTTATATGCTTATTTTTCAATTTGATTTTATTTTTCAGGCTATGTTACAAATACTTTACTTGATGAAAGTTTAATAGCTATATTGCCTGAATAATATTCGGTGTAGAACTCTATCTAGCAGAAATTTTACTTAGGAGGTTATGTAGGTTCCAAAATATCTGTTTCTCAGTGAACGATCGATGTTGACCTGAGATAATAATTTTAATAGAGAAAATTAGCTACAAGAAATTCTAGGAAACTGCATCCAATTTGAATCAGCTGAACATTTTAGTAACAATTTTATAACTATCCTTATGCCCACGTGGTAAAATATTTCTCTGAACCAGCTATTTATAGCCATGTAAATAGATGGACAGATAAGTTACTGGTAAACAAGATGATTATTTAATATAGAAATAATATGTAACCTTCAAACGTTGCGAATAATTTCATAAGCTAACCCTGTTCCTTTCTTTCTGTTTGGCTTAATCAGAAACGGTCGTTCGGGAAATATATGGGTTCGATTGAAGGATATATTGATGAACAACTCATATATGAACATCAAGACGACACTACCTATACTGCTGTTCGACTAGGTGGTTGTGTATTTGATGGTTTTTCACCACGTAAAACCGAGAACGACTGCAAGAATGATGGAATTTCGACCACACAATATATATACATATTTTTTATAGGACTACGCTGATGGGATTATATGTGTAGAGATAATCACTTCTGTTAGATTTACATATACCGAAGTTGTTTCATTAGCTGATAGTTAGGAATGCAGATTATGGTGAAAATGGTAATCTGATAAACGGATATCCCTGCGATATTCAAAATCGAATCCGAAATACTTACGGACATATTTGCGTCTTAAAACTATAAATCAGCAGCAAGGTGTTTGAAAAAACTGTTAACATGCAAAAGAATTCATTTTGTTGCACTCATAAATGTATGACAAGTTTGAATTTCACATAAAACCTTAAGTTCAGAGCTCTATTTTGCTGTTTATTTCTGTGACAGTGTCAGTGTCCGGGTAACTGTAAAACGGTACACTGAAACCGATATGCGAAGAAAAAGCAACTCGGAAAAAGCTTTGCACATGACCACACATGAAATAATAATTCGAGCATACTATCACATCCGACCACAAATAAAGCAGCTTACTTCTATAAACTTTATTGTTTCACTCTTTTTTATATTTCAAGTTATCATCTATGGTGTGAAAATACATTGTTAACAGCTTAAAGAAACTCAGAGTTTTCTCAGTTTCATGAGGAGTTTATCGTCACTGTTGATTCTTTATACAGAATGAAAACACAATAATACTAAATAGACTGAAATCACTACTATAAGGTCACTACGAGGTAAGCGTATTTCAAAAGCTTCTTGTTGATTGTACCTTGTTAGACAATCTCTTAATAAACAAAAAACAGCGTCTATTAGTGAACAATAGTGCACACTTCAATCTAGCATACTTCAAAACACCGTAGAACAAGTAAACTGAAAGCGATGAAAAGACATTGGAATAAAAAAAGTAGAATATGAGAGGGAGAAAAGCAGAAACGATAAGTTGCATTATTTTCGGAGAATAAATCTCGACCATGCAACTCATGCCTGAAAAAATATCCATTTTATCCGTTTCACTAACAGTAAACTAGTAAACTATATAGCTTTGTATGGCTCAGGATAGTAGTCAGTAACTTGAAATCATACCTTGACCTGGCCAACACCAGCTTCTTTTCAATTTAATTCTGCTCTTATTATTATTATTATTATTATTATTATTATTATTATTAGTCCCTTGGGTTCCTAGTGGAACATAGGGCTTCAGTAGCACGTCTCCATTTCATCCTGTTCTCTGAGATCTTTTGGACCTGGTTCCACGACAGCCCACAAGCTCTCATTTCCTCCTCCTGCTCTACTAATAATCAGATATTAAGAAATGTGGTTAGTTTGCTTGTGTATTATATATTCCTGTCCCTAGTTGGCTTATTTTGCTTAACAAAGACGCCATGTCTAATCTTCCCCAGGTATTTATTTCTTCATCACTTAATTAGTTTACATTATTGTACAACTGAACGATTATATAGACCAATTAATCAACAAGAAAAGTGACACAGAATCGCATCAATTCGATTTGTTATGGTTTACGGTATTGCGTAAAGAAGAAATGGATCAAAAGGTAATGATAATAAGTTGGACCACAGTATATGAGAGGTGAGAAAATAGATGAATTAAGATTATTTAAAATGTTCAAAAATGTTAAGATGATAAAGCTTGTAATTGTGATTGCGACCAATTTTAAACCATAACACGAAGAGTCGTGGGTAATTGAATTTTGTCATCCGTAGAATGTACTGCTAACCTAATCTACTATATTTTCAAAGAAAAATAGTCGATCAATTTGGTGTTTAGCTAATGCATCTTAATACGGAATGTGTTTTCTTTGTTTTCGTTTTGTGAATTAATACTGTCTACATACACCCTCAGACAAATGAATCCATTATTGCAGTGGTATTTATAAATATATTCTTCAAACATCTTCTTATGACCAATCCAGGACGAATGAATGGCTTATGGGCTTATTTTGATCCCCAACTACTTCTAGAATGTTGCACTGACTTGTTGAGCAGACTTCAAGGCAAGTGTTCAGGGTCTGGCTTCATTATTTCTACACATGAACTATGTTTTTTTCACTAACATTTTAAATTTGTCTTCATGAATATCCTTGCTTTTTCGAAGTTATTTGTTTCTTATTGAAACTCTTAACTGTTTGTACCGTCCTCAGTCTACGCACAAACTTGTTCCGTAGTCCAGTATTTGATTCAGCTTTCAGAAAACACATGGACCATATAGGCCTTCAGCTGGTCTTGATGGTGTTGATATTGAAATAGGTGCCAGAGTCAAAGATACACTAGTCGACTGAATCCCTATCAACAATCACTTGGTTGCTGTTGGGCAAGAGAGTCCTCAAACTAAAGACCACCTTTTGGAGCTGTATGCAGACAACAACTTATATTGCGACCTGACTTCCTTACTCTGCCACTCAAGTCTAAACTCCAATAGATTATTTCATGACCAGATAACAAGGGCAGGATATGTTCAAAACTACCACTCCTAAATCATCTGCCTGGACTTTAATTGCACTTCGTTGTGTGCCAAGTTCATCTTGTATTTTGGTCGTTGTTGTTCCAAGCAGGTTCATGGAAGTAATCTGGTTGCTCATACCATTGCTGCAAAATATCAAGTCATGCTAAATTTAAAGTTTTCTATATAAGCTACATCTTAAAACAGTCAGAAGCTGCTGGCAACTAAACGGTTTTTGAAGTCGCTGTCACATCAAAAGAACAACGTTCACAGATGTATGGAACGCTGAGTGGACCACGTTTAAGTGCTATTTAGCTGGCGCACTGTTTGAGAGGAATTTGATCTTACGTTCTTGTGTTTTATGGTTAGTTAATATCTACTCACCCAGTAAATTGAAAATTCAGAGGGAATTCCAAGTATTAGGGCACAACACAATATTCAACCCCCACATATTACCACTGGCTCTTTTTGAGGATAGAGGTGAGATAGAGGTGGTCGGATAACTAACTGAAGTGCATGAAAGGTACTGAGGACAGGAAGTTCAGTCATTCAAGAACGTTAACGTAATGAGTGTGACAGTTATTGATGTAGCAATATATTATCAGTAGCCTCCAAAGTATTACCTACTTATATACTTCGTGAGCTGTGGTTCTGTCAGACAGTTGATTTGTCAATGACTTCCATACAAAACGTGGACGAAATATTTGTCCTTACCTCAATCAAAGGCAGCGTCATTCCATTTTACCTACCAGTTGTCAATCTTATAAATATTCAGACGATGGTTGTCACGAATGTCTTTTCAAAGGTTGCGTCACTGAAATTTTTACCTATCCAATGTCAACGAGTGTCTGAGAAGACAACATTTTGCATATTAAACTCGGCAGTTATTGGTCCGGTGAAGTAATTATAATAACGATAATAATAATATATACGGCTATATTTTCATCTTGTTTCCGCTTTTTAGTGGGGTAATACACCTTCCCTTTCCATTCTTGTCTTCTGTATCTTTCAGTATTGTGAGGATAGTATTCCAGTGATTATTATCTATTGTCGTATGAGCGTAAAACGACAGTTCTTAATTCACAACTCATTAGTTAGGAAAAATCTCTTGGGGAGTATTATCCGGTCATATCAGGTTATTATCAGCTGCAGACCTACTGTGATGTATTTATCTTCCATCAGATGCTTCAACACAGTCACAGGTAATACAGGCTGACTATAAACACGTTTCATGATATTAGGTTATTACATGATTCAGTGAACAGGGTTAGACTGTAAAATCGTTTGTTACAAGTGAACATTTTTGTCATAATTGTAAATACTTTAAAACCTTTATAAGAAAACGTCTGTGATAGGGTAAGAGCATATGACAACATAATGCGTCCCCCATTCCTATTCCAATTCGCCATTGATGTGAATCTGTTGCCAGACAAAATACTCTTTAACTTCTAGTATGTGACCAATATGTTTCCGCTGTGTGACAACATACAAGATGCTCTAATCGCTTCTTGCCAGTTGGTGATCAGTGATTAGTGCCCCTACTCTCGGTGGTTATCTGTTGAAAGTTGTCGGAAAATTCGTGTATCTTGGTAGTTATGTTAGTGTTGATTGGGGGGTGACTAACGCGGTTTCTAACCGTATACAGAAAGTCAGAGTGACAAGTACTAATGAGTCACCTTTGTTGCCATCTTTACGTTGGCCATGTAGTACAAGGTTGGTTGTATAATAAATTGGTATGAGCACTTATGCTCTATGATAAGAATGTTCTACGCCTGTGCTTGTTCTACCACCATTACCTCTGTAGGATCACCTAAATTGTAGGTTGGGTAACACTTACTTCGAGCTTTATGGAGACCATCATTCATTGAGTGAGGTCATCTCGAAACACTGGCTGCCTGAGAATTTGCTGCAAAGGCTGTCTCATGGGAAACCCTGCCATTCAGTGTGATTGGAAGAAGTGGGGCAGTGGTCATTGAACAACGTGTCATGTTCTCAAGGATAGTTGCACTGCGTTAGAACCTGTTAGTGTCTCATTACTCTCTAGATAGAATCTGAGAGTACATGCAACTGATTGACTTGAGATGACAACTGCCCTAATCTAGAACCAAAATCAAACGTGATCGTGCTGCAGCCTTCACGTTTATTCTGTCACTGAAAAGGAATTTTTATCCGAGACTAGTTTCGCTAATAGCTCATTTCTAGTTTGCTTCAGTTCTTAGTCCACTCTTTCTACATCACTTCTTTGTCTTTCTACTGTTGCTGTGTTACCTTGTGCAGAAAATTTCTTGACGTCCACGTTATACAGTTTGTGTAGCAAATTAATTAACGTGTATGCATATGCGCTGGCTGACATAAGGAAATTTGAATTTTTGCTTGATAAGTAGGAGATATATCCGTCACATAATATCATAAATATATGTTAATTAGTAGACTGTATTGAGCGTCGTTCGTAGTATATATGTGTCACCTAAATGACCCAGAACACTAAGCACAAACATAAGAAATATGTAAGTATATCATCAAAATGCCTTTCCGACCAATGAAGTTGTGACACCACAAAAAATGACACCTAGTAAAACTCAGAACAAAATTTGTAACCCTTAGTAATCATAAACTTGAAAAGTTTCAATTTGTTGTTGATATTGTAACTTGGAGTAGAATGATAACGACAATCGTAATTCGTACTCACGATCATTTCGGCTTTCAATTATTGTTGGGATGAAGCATATTAACTATCTGCCTAATTCTAAACCACTTCAATAAATAGAAAATTTAAAAATCCCTTCAAATGACACCACCTTTCAAGATATATATATATATATATATATATATATATATATATATATATATATATATATATATATATGTACTTAAAGCTGTGATTCTCTGAACGTTGAAAGAGTGGTCATTTGAAGGCATTTTTAATGTTCTGAGTATTGAAGTGGTTGACACTTAGGAAGATGGACAGTTAAAATGCCTCATCCTAGCAACAACTGGAAGCAAAATGACCGTGAGTACGAATTGCGATTGCCTACTCCAATTATAACATCAACAATGGGTTGAAATTAATCATCAACTTCACTGTTACTTTACAGGATGATGACAAGTGACTCACTTAAACATCAGACATCAAAGTACCTTGTAGTAAAGTATTTTCACAATCTTCAAGTGTTTAATTACAAAATACTTTCTACTCAAACACCAATATTTTTTACTTGTGAGTTTATCAGAAAAAAAGGTATTCTGTTTTAAATATTGGAAACTTACACCAGATACATCATTTTCCAGTTCTCCTAGATTTGAAGTAGCTTGAAACCAAAAGAATAACGAAAACAATGAAATAGATTTCAGATCGTCTTTAAAAAAGTAAATAAAATCAGTGAATAAATCCTGAGTTAAATAATTCGTTACTTCACTACCAAAAAATTAATACGAAATAGTTTACCCCTGTTTACCATAAATCACTACCTTCAAGATAAGTGAAAATAATTATTTTAAAATAACCATGTTGACCACCTGTTTATGGTGAAAATTTGACTCATAATGAAGTTATTTTTATCTTAAACTGAGATTTTACACTTCCAACTTCCGGATAGTGAAACATCCATTATGAGAGGCCCTTGTTATTACCATTTTGCTCAAAAGCCTAACAAAAGGCTAGAGTTTATTCAATACAGTTGTTTAAAAACCTAAAGCTCTTCAATTTTTCCAATTTCAGTGTCCTCAAGCTTTAATTAGACAGGGAATATGTCTGTGTTTTTAGAAATTTATAGAGTATTTTGGTCAAGGTAACTTTAAATAGATTATCGCTAGTTTACAAGTACCTTCACTTTTATAAACATTTTTCGTGAAATCGCACTAGCAACAGTGTTTCAGAAATACGTTAGTACCATATACCTACAAGACATACTAACGTACAGCAAAGACGAAAACAGAATCAAGTTAAAAAGTTCTGAATGATGACTTAAATAAGGCGTGTTATCTATCCCTAAATTCGTTGACTGCGTTTCTTGGGAAAAGTAGCATAGTTTATTTCGCCAAGGTGATATCGACGAGAAGAAAAAAAATTAACTGTTACAGAGTGGAAACTAACCACAACTTTTCTATCCTCTACTCATTTTCTGCGTTCTATAATCTTCGTATTTTGACTAATTCACTCTTTTAGTATGTCACTAAATAGAATAATTTCAGTAAGTGTATTTTTGTGTTAGATCCTATGTTGTTATGTTTGCACTTTTTGCTGATATAAAATTAACAACAATACCAGCGATTGTTTTGCAGTATGATTATTGTGTTATCTGATTTCTTTGGATGTCATGTCGTAGTATTTCGTTACAAGTCTGAAATTTATGGATGATATTTATGGCTCAACAGTACGTCATCCTCTAAATACACGGCATGATGTGGACATTTAAAATGCATTCAAAAGAGTTACTGAGTAATGCAATCCAAACACTGATTCACATAACACAGGCCACTGCGAGTGCAAAACTGAAATCTGACTTCTATATTCACAAGAATAAATAGTCAACCTTTAACTACCTTGATAGCAATGGATGTAACCCCACTAGATTTTCTATTTATTTTTATATTATAATTACAATTTAGTGAGTTGAAGTTAATTTGTTAACGCCTTTCCTTTTAGTGTAATATTCTTGATCATTTTTTATGCTATCATTAATATTATTCTGGAAATGTCATTGTAATTAGTTATCACATTATACATAAAAGTGCTTCCAATCATCCAATCTTATATCGCTTCTCTCCAAAAAAACTCGGCTACTGTTTCATGACTTCTGTATTGCCCAGTCTTCAAGTATGCTGAGAGTTACTTCAAATTCTGATTTCAGCAGTTGGTATGAGGCTTGAAAAAATGTATCGAAGTCACAGTACAAATTAGCCTCAAGCACTTGGCTCCGCAAAAACAAAAGTTTGTTTGTTCTGAATTACACCATTTTAACTTTTAAATTTCTAGGAAAGCTTTCAATTTGTCTCAGCAGACAGTTTTGATGAAACTCTAAAGAGATTTCGCCTTGCTGAGCAAAACCTCTCTGGCTAGATACATATCAAAAGTGATTGGTTATTTACTATTGAGATCAAATATGATGAAACAACTTATCAAAATCGAATCCCGATAGAAAAAACAAACCATCAGACATGTTACTCTACTGATAATGTTATTTTGATATTTTGCTTGTACATTCAAATTTCTGTTATCATATTAACCTAAACCTTAGAGGTTAAATCAAGTAATGGTATGTGTAGATGATTAACTCTGGTTTAACCCACTCTGTGTACAGTCATGTAAAAATTATTCTAGTTGATAAAAGTGTTTCTTTTCTTTCATGAAACATTTGTATTTCATTTACGTTATTCAGTGAAACACTTAACAGCTTACAAAGTTAACATATTTCAGACACAAATAAATGTCAACGAAACAACTATCAGAAAGGAGTTTAAATAATTTCACATGTCGCAGCAGTGTCCATGTGAGATCTTTTTGAACTACACATGCAGTATAATGAAGCCTAGTCGTGTTATCCTCCATCAAAATGTTGAAACGGACAATCAAGATTATAGAGATTTTGGATTGTGTTTCATCCAAACTTTTAGTTTTGATTACACTCAACAACAATATTTTATGACTGCTATTTGGTAAATTGAATAGGTTATGAGTAACCAAAAATTATAATTACTGATTCTACCTGGTCTAGATTTCAGTTTACGCAATTCCTCTTGTGTTTGATTATACTGCACTTGTAAAGCGTGTAACTCCTTTTCAAATCCTTTTCTCATTGACTCCATATCACGCTAAAATAAAATTCAGAAAGAGGTTTTAGTTGTTAGTCTTCCTAGACAAATTATATTAGAGGAAAAATCAAATCTAGCTAACAAGGGCTAAACAGGAAAAAAAATACTACATCAGGACCAATTTTATACAAACATTTCAGAAGCTTGAACATTTAAAAAACCTTCTGGATCGGACTCAAAATTTTCACACTTTCCAATGATCACTTAAGTTTTCATCAAACGTTTTTTATTTTGAGAATTTAGTGGTATAAATTGACCATCATTACAACATTCAGTTTGAGCACTTATCCTTAATCACACCTGAATTGATGCTGAAAATGACATCCTGTAACTGAAAAAAATAAAGAATTTTGTCTAAACTTACTCACGGATGAAACGTGAATTGATCTCCTACCTATATTTAACTGATGTAATTTCATCAATGTTAGTGTTAGCAAGTTACACAGATCTCCTGAATCGTCAAACTGAATTCTTTACTATGGTTAATAATAGAATTATTAACTGAAGAAGAAGGGGTTAGTGCCAACGTAGAATCAACTTATGTGCGACAAGCAGACGCTTAAGTGGGACACTTCAGATCTGCAAACAACTCACACCTTTTTAAGTTCTGTGCTTTTCGTATCACTTTCATTGGTTAACGGATTGTTGCGTAATCTTTTGTGCACATTTACGTATGCTTTTGTTCTGCTTTCTAGTATCTTGTTATGAATATGAAGCTCATCTATCCTCCAACTATGAAATGTTGCACGTTTCCAGCGCTTGTAAATACGATTGTACAGCCTTAGGAAATGGTATCATTTATTAGGGGACGTTTCTCCTTACTCAATTATCTTTATTCTTCAGACTGCAATTTGTTTGCAACATTCAGACTAAGGAAATTTGACATTACAGGGATACAATCTTAAGCGAAAGGATAAACGAAAATTTCACAATACATAACGTGTGTTATTGGAAATGTCATGATAAGAAAACTTGGCTGAAAGCTAACGAAAAACGACACAAGTACAGGTCTTGACTATAATGACAGCACAGTTTTCCACATACACATGAATGTAAATTCTGCGATAGTGATTAGATTTGAAAGGAAATCAGACAATGAACGATACGAATCACTGACATCTAGTCAAGCTGATCAGAGATTTACTAAAATTTAAACTTCTCTTTATCTAACACTGTTAGACATAACAGTTGTTCACACTACTGTCACGAATGCAAACCTGTAGTAACAAAAATAAGTTAGTGGCAAAATGAAAAGAAAAATACATACTCTGTGTTCTTCCATCAGTTGTCTATGCCAATCTGAGTCATTGGGTTTCTTCGCAGAAATATCAACATCGAAACCAACTGATCTAAATGGGGAATTGGAACGATTCGGAAGACTTGGAGTAACAGATTTCAATTGGTCCAATAGCGCTCTTACATCACGCTCCAAAGAGGCACTCTAAGACAAAACAATTTACTTCTTATGAAAATTACGTAGAGAATAGAACTATGGCTTAATGCAGTATTTTTCAGAACTTCAAATTTCTAATCATCATCTATATCTTTATAATAATAAACGGGTAGTAACATAAACTGCTATTATTTTTCAAATCATTCACAAACTAGCGAGTGAAATCGTATTAGACTATACAGACAAAGAGAAAAAGCTCGTCAAAGAGAAAATGTTCGAATGCGTTTCAACATCGCAGTCACGTAGTGTCGACATATCTGATCTAGACAAATTCCCCTTGTGTGCAGGTAAAAATGGAGCTTTTGAACCATCAAACCAGGTGTCATGGATTGCAACGGCATCGATAAATATGACTTCCGAGTTCATTATCATCAACTCTAAAAGTAAGCCCTCAAAATTGTGATTACCGTCAGCCTTTATCAGTCTTCTCACTATCCTTTGATATATTAAATCTTGAAGCATTGGCAGTACAGCAATTTTGTTGAAATAATGAGGTGAAGTAAATAACATACACCCTTTAGTTGCATAAAAAGTGGTGACTGACGTGTTGGAACAGCATACTGTGTACCATGAAGTTGTAATACTTAAAAACCGGATCAACGAGTAGTACGTTTTCTAGTTTATTAATAACGATAGCTCGGTAAAAGAGTAACTAAAGGATGCATGAGTTGATGTACCTTTTATTCATTTTAAATTGTATGCCTCACAATTCATTTCCTTACTGGTCTAGAAATATCTTGTTAGGTTACTCATCAGTCTCCAGTTCTATCGTACTTTCTAATCGACTGACAAATTTTGAGGAAACCGGACAATTTTACTGCCACTCTCGAAACCATCTATACTAGTTGCTCAGTGGTGTACACATTTATATCGCGCAAACGGTTTTCGTTTGGCTCAGTTACAAATTTCTCATTGCCCTGCTCACTGACCACTGTCTACTCACTTTTTGCGAATTCTTTAATTCATTATTTCAATTATCATTTGCTTACGTTGTGCTGAAAATATATTACTTCGTTTCAACTACGTTATCGAACGTACTAACGTGACCATCCATTTACTACATTATCAAAATGATAAGATTGGTGCAGAAACTGATAACTGTTTAGTTAAGCAAGATTATATAGAAAGTAGAGCATTTAAATTAGTTTTGGTGTCAGTCATCCTCTTTTTCAGCAAGAAGATTTAATTTCAACTCATAAAAATTCACTAATCATGGACGTGGTCGGCAACATACTCCGATAAGATTTGTCTCTAGTCGGCAATTGGTCCTAGAGTGTGTTAAGGACAAGTTGCCACTTCAGGCCACCTCAATATGTGTCTTCAAATTTACTTGGTCCTGTGGAGCTAGTTATATAGGCAGCAAAAGGCTTGCACTCTCCAAAAGTATCTCTGAACACCATGCTGAATTGCCATTGAGGAGAGAATGTAAATCAATCAACAGTTCAATTCTTGAACATTTGGTCAACTCTAGACATATAGCTCTACTAGAATCCTCCTTCAGTGTCATTTATGGAGTCAAATGGAATACTAATATTTAGTATCCACTCGATAGATAGATGTAAAGAAGGTGAAGAGTGAGACAAGAGTTATAATGAGGGTGATAATAATAAACTGATAAATTATGGTGAATTCGAAGCAGCAGAAGCACTGGCAGTTCACCAATTCAAACCTGATCTCTGCGTGCAAAAGAAGAATGTCCAATCTCTTATCTCACCATGGTCTTAACATTTTCATAATTTTTCGATTTCATTATAATTGGTTAGCTTATTAGAATCACTTTCATTGTGATCCTTGTCTCATTCTTCACCTTCATTACATCTATCTGTCAAGTGGAAACTCTGTTTCTCATCTACCAATAATTTCCACCTCGTCAAACTGCCTGCCTTCCTCGTTATTTCCACTGTCTAAAACATTACTACGCAACTACTTTCCGTTCTTGATTTCGGTTTCTTTGCACTAGCTTAATAATGCAATTATACACCATTGTTTAATAATAGACTGTTATATGTTGGTGATGTATACGATTGTACAGCTTTAGCAAATGACATCATCGAATAAGAAAACTTTCTTCGTTGAATTATCTCTTCCTTTCTCTATGACACATTATCATGGATTTTTAGGTTAAATAGTCGGCCAAAGGACTAAACCGCTGATTAGACATACAGACAGTCATAAAACTATTAGTCACTGCAGGATTTCAACCTTCTTAGTTGGTTTCCAATTTAAACTGAAAGTCCTAGATATAGTTTTTGCCGATATCTAAACGCATTCAACCTCAACGACTGTGAAAAAAGTATCTTGCCTGTTTACATACTTACCATATTATTGTTTGTTGTATAATGGCATTCTGTTTGTTGAGGTATGTGTCGTGGCGACATCTTCGATGAATGAGGAATCCCACAACAAGGCAGTTGTTGTGTGTGAGTACAAGGTAGGCCATCAGTCATCGTATTTGTATGAGCCATAGAAAGTGGAACATTATTAGGTGGAGTTCTGGCTTCTGGATGCCTACGATGAATATGTGTGGCTAAAAATGAAGCATTCACGAAAGCTTTTGGACAATATGTACACTTATGTAATGACTGTGGACCAGAATCCATGAGTTCCTGTTGGGCCATGAGTAATAAACGCCGACGATGACATTCTCGTCGGGTTAATGTAAGACGATTAGTTTTCTCTTCAAGTTGTTGCTTTAATTTATTGCATTTCTAAAACATATTAAGAAATTTCGTCATTAATATATCAACAGTAGAATTCGATCAACAAGTTTTACTTACATGTTGTAATCAGCCTTTCCATAAAATCATGCATATTAGAAAATGTGGCCAGTCGAAAACTGGAATCATCTATTACTCACTGAATAGAAATAAACTGCCTTTAAGAGTACATGAAACGGTCTTATTTGCCAGACTATTCATATTTAGCAGGTAGTGTGATTGAAGATGAAGTGAAATCTCGGACTACCGGAGTCTGCTAAATAAAATTCTAAAGTCACTCAGCTCTTCATATCAGCGTCAGTCGTTATACATGTACGTCAAAAACAAACTGTGAAATATCACTTAGCGACTAAATTAATACTGATGTACTCCTGAATGGTTACTTTTGTTAGCAAAGCTTTGTTATGATCCGTAGAATTTCCGCCTCCTTTATGAATGTATGTTGTAAGTAAGAATGTTTCCATTGAGTAACTTCCCTAGATAAAAGACTTTTGCAAAAGGCAGAGACTTCAGTGGTGAATGAAGTGACAGTATAGTTCTAATTTCAACGAGGGTTTATATTGATCGAATACTAACTAGGTTTAGTTGATTTATGAATACACCTGACATCTTAGTGGTGTTCCCTTTTATTTCACGAAAGATAATATCTAGGATGCAAAATACTTGTGTCTGCCCTTTTCATTGATACTTGTCATCCTTACTAATTGAGTACAATGTGGATAGGATTACAACCGATAAAGTAAGAATTGTTTTTTCTTGAAGCCCTGATTACTACGAAAAATATGTTCAGTAATACTCAATAAGGATTTACTGAGAATCTTGTTTTTAGACATTGTGTAGAACAGACAATAAAAGTAAGTGGTTAGTATCTGAGAATAGCAAACCAAATGTGAACATCATAAAGTTTTATACTGAGATTTTGGTTTACCAACGTAAATTGGTAATTAGATCTTCAAGTTCATGAGGAATATGTAGAAATAACTACTCAGAAGATGAGCCATATTGTGGCTTTTGAATTTAACTAAATTGGCTTTCATCCACTTGCTACTGACAACGAGTATTATACCTCCACGTTGATCTGCGTAGTGCCAAGTGGAAAAAGTTAAATTGTATATTACTTCGTACTGTTTACTCTTCTGAGTATTGTCAGAGTTCTATCATCCAATTCAAATAATTCTAACATTACTTAGTTGACACTAATATGGAATGTTAGCTTGAAAAATCATTCTTGGTTGGTTGGCAACTAAATATTTTCTCACAATATGAAAAATAAGCAAATAATCCGTATTATTGGTCCTCAGCAGTAGCCTGATAATCATAACTCATTCCATCCTGACTGTACTAATCCATCTTCTGACTATCTTCGGGTGTTGTGATTAGTCATTTCATATTTAGGTTGTTTAGTACACAGAGGCTATAGTATTTCATGTACAAGACCCGAGCGTACCACTTGAAGGGGATCTAAGCCCTTTATCACACAAAATAAATTCCGGACTGCGTGTATCGTAGAAAAACAAGACCGAATCTCACTCCTGCACATAATCAAAACGCACAGGTTTAATTCGCACATGCGTATATCCACCTTATGAGTTATGATCATACCTTCAACCGAAAAGTCTAGCGGATTTCACAACGTATCACTGTATCTGATGACCATTTTTCAAATTAGGCTGTTTACTAACAACGGTTAGTTTTGTGCATAACTTCACCGTAAAAGTAAGAGAAACATCCCACCTCAAAAAATGCATCTTGGGCATTATTAGGTCCACAACTGACTATCAGCCATATTTGTACCCCAAGATATTATCAGAGTGCTTGTAATTATGAATTAAAGTCTGTATGCTGTGCTATACGAATGATAGTTTTCTCGTGATATTTAACTGGTTTATATGCATAAATACTGTTCTTCAACCTCTTCACACTAACTGAATGAAGGTATACAAATCAGTTGTAGTCAATAAGCGACGAAATAATTTTGCTTCCACTCAAATTCCTTTGAAAACCACGCCCCCTTCCCAAATAGCGGGTAACATTTGCCGAATGCTCAGTCTTCTCCAAGCTAAACTTAGTTCGTACGGGTCCACACACATTTCTTACTGAAACTACTAGAAATAGTAAATAGTAGTCTCCTGTCGAAAAACTTGTGGTCACTTCAACGAATACATGAATTTAATAATGATTACCTTATGAAGTTCACCATTCTCTTCCTTTAAGGAGTCGATTGTGGTTGTTAGATAGTCCTGAGAATACTGAATGAAATAAGAATATACAGGCAGAAAATATAGACGTGACATGGCTCTGAAAACATAGACAAATATGAATACAATGGTTTTCATGAAAAAAGGGAGTTATTAATATTAAAAGTTCTTTTAGACCAAATGTTTCTTTTAGAGCTAATACTGAAGGCGTTCAAAACCATATTTACATCCGAAGTTGTAACAAATTCCTCATCAAATATATACTACTTAAAGTTGTGAACCAGTAGCGTAACTCTTGTCACCAAATGTTAGACAAGTGCAACTTCTTTTAATAATTTTTATTGACTGTGACTTAGATGAATATGATGATTAATGATCCCCCCAACTGATTGAATTTATGCGCAGGTGACTACGAACGAATGACAGAAGAATGCAGTCATCTTCCTTCTTTATTGCGACATAAAACTCGTTAGGTTACCATCATACATTTTGCGAAGAATAGCTCATTTATAAGTACACTGTGAAGTAACAAATTCTTAAGGTAGCGGTTCAATTCTTATTCTAAAAGAAACAGTAGAAGATTTGTTTTGACTTAAGATAAAGCTATGACAGTTCATTCCAGAAGTAAATAATGCCAAGGACTTCGAAATTTACATGAAACACAAGTCCAGCACTGTCCGGTTTGTCAGCCCCTTTTTAGCTGACGTTAACTCAGTGAAAAAGTGTTTTGGAATCTTCTTATCGAATGCTTTCAAAACCATACAGACATAGAAGCGTAGGCTTTTTCACAAAAGCACACCAGTTAACATACTTTGCGACAGCAAAATACATCAAATCAACATTAATGGAAAGATGATGAAATAAAAATAAAGAAAAGAATAAAGTCGGCAGCGGGGAATGATAGAAATGGAGTGCTGAGACGTTAAATATTCCTCAAAAAGATGAAGGAAAGACACATGCTCGTGTCATTCCAATCGCTGTGTAGCCTGTGTCACTAAAACATTGATATCTGGTATCTTTTGAACCATAGTCAGGTTACCAAAATTCTTCATATCACTGGAGCCAAGTTTTAACAGGTCTTTACCAAGTTGCCTGCAAACTTGTTTGACCTTGATCCTTCTTCAAGCTTGTATTGTCCACTACTGCATATGGACTTAGAGTTCGTGACTGCTAAAGACATCTCTAATTATGAACCTCGCCTAGTTTACTAGTTCACTATATTACTAGCCGGTACTAACCTCGGATAAAGAGGGAAGGTTGGGCATACGGCTAGCAACCCTACACCGGAAAGCCAGTCCGACTGCTAAACAAACTTCAAAAGCGCAAGAAAATATAAAACATGAAAACAAACTTATTCCTTGCTGGAATGGGAAGACGGGATGAAGCCGGTTGGTGAAAGCCTTCAGGAAGCCAAATGGCCGATGTCGTCTCTCACTCGATGAGAGCAAAAATAAACACGGAGACAAGGAATCTCCGCACCGTGTATGAACCTAGATAGCAAGGCTACCCAGATTGTAAAAGCGGTAAGAAGTGCTAAGAATCTGCGAAAGTAGATAGGATGGAAGTGGACCCTCCCAACCGTCAACTGGAGAGCCAATAACCTACTCCGATACTGTCACCCACATGACAACCACGAACACACTGAATTTCAGAAAGCCTATCATGACGTCTCTAAGAACACTGAAGGCTCTCATTCAGTGAGAACCAATCTCCTCCACCATCACGATCATGACAGCAAGATTCAGCTCAAAAGGAAGAAGAGTCACAATCATTCAACGCCACACTACGCTACGCACCTACAAATAATGCAGATGAAGAGAAGAAGGGGGAATTCTACAGACAACTACAATCAGTACCAGACAAGACTCCAGATGGCGACATCAAAATTCTAATGGTTGGGGTGACATGAATGTGAAACTGGGAGCAGACAACACAGGACGAGAACCAATCACAGGTTGAGAGACACTCGGTGAAGTGATGAATGAGAACGGAGAACTGTTTGCAGAATTCTGCACATTTAATGACTTGGTGATTGGAGGCAGTGTGTACAAACACAAGGACATCCACAGAGTGACAAGCATTTGATTTTATCAGACACCAGGACACACTAGAAATCAGATCGACTTCATCTCAATGTGAAGAAGGTGGAGACGCAGGCAGCCTACTGGACACAAGATCCGATCAAGAAGGGGAACAGATGTATGTGGTTCACACCACTCACTATCTAGTGCAAGGAACCTAACTTGGAAATCAAGTTGAAAGTCTTCACAGAAGTTGGTGATATACCACAGTTGAAGTTCAACATCCAGAACAAAAACTGAAGGACGAAACTACAAAGGAAATCCTCACGTCAGTCATCAAAACAAAATGGTAGACACTGAGCAACATCCCCGAGGAAACCTGCGTGAAGGAACACTGGAACTCATTGAAAGTGACGTGGAAGGAAACCTACATGACGGCGTTAGAAAGGAAGAAGAGTGTAGACAAGGAATGGATCTCCATGGACGCATGCAAGCTGATAGAGCAGGGAGAGGAGGATGGTGAAGCAGAAGATGAACCAGTGCAGTGCAGTGCAGGGATGAACAACGAAAAGAGGAACTGAACACAACCTACAAAACACTACATCGAACAAAGAAGTGAAGAAGAGTGCATGCAAAGACAAAAGATACTTCTGAGGCACAGTTGCAACTGAAGCAGGACAGGTTGCATGTAGAAGAGACAGAGACCTGACAACATTATATCAAATAACCAGGTCACTATCCGAGAAGAAATCAACACAGGTAAAACCAATGAAAGGTAGTGAAGGAAACTTAGTTACCGCCAAAGAGGAGGAACAAAGAAAACAATGGGCTGACCACTCCAAAACCTCTTGAATCGACCACCACCACCTGAAACTCGTTCAGAAATACCACCAGCAGCCTAGCCGCAGAACTATTGGTGAACACAAGCCCTCTGACGAAGGCAGGAGTGGAGTCCTGAATGTCAAGAAGTTACTGAAATCCAAGAAAGCAGCATAACCAGATGGAATTCCTCCAGAAGCTCTGAAAACGTATGCAGAGACAACAGCGGACGAGCTCACACCACACCACTATTGCAGGAGGTTTTCAAGGAAGAAAAGGTACCTGCCGACTGATTGGAAGGGCTACCTTGTCAAACTCTCAAAGAATGGCGACCTACGTCTTTGCAAGAACTGGTGCGGAATCATACTCCTGTCCACCCCGAGCAAAATATTAAGCCACATCATCCCGGAGAGATTAAGTAATGCTTTGGATTCAAAATTACGACCGGAACAGGCTGCCTTCGGGAAGAACAAATCATGTGCCGATCAAGCTTGAACACTACGCTGTGCATCAACAGAGAACCCAGCATAAAATGGCAGTCAACTCCCTACCTCAACTTCATCGACTTTGAAAAGGCCTTCGATACCGTCGAACGAGAAGTAATTCGGCAAGCAGTTGCTTCAACACCACGGAATACCACAAACCTTTATCAATCTCATTCAACAGCTGTATGATGATGGTGATGATGATGATGATGATGCTACATGCCGAGTGATTCACAATGGAAGTTTCAGTGACACCTTCGAAGTGAAGACAAGAGTAAGACAAGGTTGCCTACTACTATCATCGATGATCTTCCTGATTCTGATCCACTGGACTGGACTGGACTGGACTGGATCATGAAACAGATGATTGTGAAGAGCAAGAAGATGTGGATACGCTGTTTGATCGATGAAAAGAGCCTAGAAGATTTGAACTTCGCCGATGATGATTTATGTTTAATATGTTATCGCACAAACTCGAGGATCTACAGGTGAAAACTAACAAGTTGACAGAAGAGGCAGGGCTAGCGAAGACGGAACTTCCTTCAGTTGAAGGTAGAGAAGATATAGGTGATGAAGATACCCAAGCCAACGCCAGCACAAACAACAACAAGCTCCAATCGCCATCAACAGGAGAAAGCTTAAAGGAAGTAGTCTCTTTAACCCACTCACCTAGGCAGCATCGTTTCAACTACAGGTGGCGGCACAGTCGCAGGCACAGATGCGGATATCAAAGCCAGAGTCGGAAAGACAGCAAGACAGGTGTTCATTAATCTGAAACCAGTGTGGAGATCTGCACTAAGCATGAAGCGTGAACAAGATCCGGATTTTCAACACCAACTCAGTCAAGTCAGTGCTGCTATGTTATGGTCTGGAAATTCGGTGCGTCACGTACAGCATTACCAACAAGCTGCGGACATACATCAACAGCTACTCACGCTCGCTCGATATTGAAAATCAGATGGCCAAAATAATAAGAATAAGCAACAAGGTACTCACTCTGGCTGGCAACGAACCAACCAAGAACCCATCGCCCAACAAATATACAGAAGAAAGTAATGGATTGGGGATATACTGAGGAGACCGATTGGGAGCATCACGCTCCAGGCCAGGCCTTCGAGTGGAATCCTAAGGTGAAACGACGAGTTGGACATCCGAGAATTACATGGAGGAAGAAATGAAAGCCTGTGAGCAGTCGTGGAGCCAGGTTCACAAGACTGTGGAGAACAGAAGTGAAATGGTGACGTGCTACTGGAGCCCTATTTTCCACTGGGAACCCAAAGGACAAATAATAATAACAATAATAATAACATCTCTAATTATGATGAAGAGACTGTTTGTAGCCTTAGGTTATTCATCAGTAGCGTGTTCATGCAAATTTGCAGTGTTCAGTCTTTACATAGAACATTGAGAGGAACAATTGTCATGATGCTTATTGAAACACAAAAAACAAGTACTTACCAATAAATATTCAACTAAAAGTTGAGCAAGCTGAAACAATTTTATGAAATTAGTGTCAATATAGCGTGTATCCTATTTAGAAAGAAACAAAAATATCAAAAGTTATTCATTGCTAAATTACCAAAGAATATGGTGAATGAAGTTGACACACGAATAGATGCTTACTCGATGCTAAGCAGCATATATAGTTTTCTTTATTTGTATGTATGCATGTAAAGAATAAAACACTACTGAGTCATTTGCGGCCTAAGATGATTAACCACCGTCTAGTCAAGTTACAGTGTCTTGAAGACCAAAACAACTGCTGACTGGAGATGCGTAGTGATGTATTTGGTACGATTATTATTTCCTATCAAACAAGTTCAGTAAGGCTTCTGCTTAAATTAAACTAAGGTTGGTGTTTATACTCTAAGCATTTGGATTTTTCACATTTTACCAGTGCTTTTGCCACAATGCTCTTTTGCATATAATCACAGACTGTTGGACACCGGAACTGAGTTTCTTTTAATCCAGTGAGCTAACAAAACATTGACTCTGAATACCATTGCTTCCACACTTCATTATGGTTTTCAGAACCGTATGAACATATATTAGTAACCGTGAAATATAAAAGTTAAACGAAAATCTTAACATAAATTAACACAATCTCCTAGCTTTGGATTCATAATATGAAACGTATATCAGCAAACTTTAGCATTAGGACAGTAGACGTACATGGTCAAATGTTTAAGAGTCAGTTTGTTTTAGATGAGAGGAGAACTACTCTGTCTCTGTTATACTTATAACGTCCAGGAAGATAGTTTAATGCATATGATTATCCTGTGTAATAGGTAACCATAAGACTTTCAGTCAGAGATTCTATCTAGGGCATAATATTTTTCAGTTAACATCTAGCTTACTATTGAATTTCGTGCTAATCTTATCTTCATGACTTATTGGATCGAATATGTTAGATGCAACCTATGATAAAGAAATGTTCACATATATTAGCGATTTTACCATCATGCTGGCATACAATTATGGCTGCCGTAATACAGTTGACAAAGTTTTGTAGACCCAAATAACCAGTCAGTCAATATTATTATGCAGACTGGCATAATTTCGTAACGATCCAATTCGGTAAATCTTTATCAGTATAGTAAGATAAAAGATCGGAAAAACATGGAAGGAAAAGTCGTAAACTGTCATAAGAACAAAGGACAAATAAACAATATCAACACAAAACCTGGTATTGCCCCGTGATGGTTCAAGCCGTCAAACCGCCTCATATTAACACACGTAGTGAGAATGCCCAAGGATGAAAAAAAGCAGCCAAATAGAGGTAGACAGCTATGAAGGGGAAGCAAGGATGAATGAGACGATAATCCAATTAGGCAAGACGATTAAGATAAAGATAATGTGCGGATACATCTGCGACACCAAGATCCAGCCTGAGCCAAGTCATCTGCAGCCACTAATCAACGATTTCCGTTGTCATGTTACTCCAACCAGGAAGTCTACATTCCCTCTATGCTTCAGACCAACATTCAGACACTTAGCGAACTGATATCACGTTTTAGTTAGGCCAATTCTAACCTTTCTTTTACTGAACCTAATTCAACTAACTGTACAACAGGCAGAGGGTGACCGTGCATGGGTGACACATATCCCAGTCACCTGAGTCAATGAACACTCAAAATTGCGTCAGCTGACTTCACTCTTCTCCCTTTAGCGTTATACTCGACTTCTACGTTACTGACTTGGTGATACCACGACACACAGCCTTTGCTACGACTGCAACAGTGGTTGAACGCGCGGTGCCTTTTCGTTTCCTCTAGTCTTAACGACGATGCTTCGCGGTTACAAAGTATAACAGAACGAACTACAGCACATTAAACTTGGTCCTTAACAGGTAATCAGATATCATGGCAGTGCTATAATGACATAAGCCAAACGAGGCCTTTGTATCTGTATGGAGATTTCACCAATTCCTGATGTTCCAAGGCTGATCTGACTACATAAATAAGTGAAATGGTCTATGTGCTCAACCACCTCACTCTCTGTGGTTAAAATAGACACTAGGAAAGACGAGTCCTGGAGCAACAATCTATAATTGGTCAGTGAGAGATGCATTCCGAACATTCTAAAATTGGCACCCAAGTTATCCTATAGACTCTTCATTTCGTCAATGTCTTCACTTAACAGGATTATGTCATCTGCGTACTCTAGGTTTACTAAATAGTTTACAGTGACAAAATCAGTCCACGTGAAGTCAGATGGCAAGAGGAAGACCTCCGTAAGTATGGTTATGACGTAATTAGAAAAGTATGGAGAGTGGAAATGTTTGACAAGTACCACTTGACGTAAACAACTCACCGGACAACTCATCACAGGCTTTGATATGCCTATAAGTATTTGAGTGCAGAGCCCTCAACAGGCTTACCTATTTACCCAGCCCCCTTTCTGGTGGGAGATAATGCAATGCCAACTTTGGGTTAAGAAATAGAGCCAGTTTTGGGAGCTGGTAACTGTATGTATGTTCCAGAACTTGACACAGATGGTCAGGTCTGGAGCCTGTGTAGTTGACTCGGGTTTGGCATTCTCAAGCTCTGCTTAGACGTCTAATGACTAAAAAACCTAGAATATAAGAAACTGCGTTCATCAGACTGGTTCTTTTGGGTTAATCACAGAAGTATATTTCGCCCTTTTTGAAGACTGATACAATCAGTGATTGAGATCACTAAGAAGGGGATCATATCTGATTCCTGTATGCCAGCTAACTCTAGTTAACCTGACTGCTGATTCCCAACTACTGTCTCTAAATACTTTAGTTCCAGTCAATTTGGCCTTGCCATCCTTTCTCGTTTCAGTTTACTCATGACTTTCTCAACTTCTGTATGCGTTGGAAGACCTGTCAAGGCATTCAGTTCAGGATCTGACTGGGTGACAGATAACGGAATATTGTGGCTGTAGTCCAACTGAACTGTTGCTCAGAGTGCTCCGCCTATCGTTCAGACGTGCGTGAATAGCAGAACCATCCTTCTTTGCTTTAATCTCACTAACCATTTTCTTCTATGCTTCATTTTTCTTGACAAGTCTGAGTAACTGCCTGTTGTTACCTACTGTCTTTGTCCTCTCTATCTCTTGACCTTCGTTTCACTACTGCTAATGGTCACTGTGTAAACTTTTTCAGTCATCATTTAAGTTTCCCCCCCCCCCCCTGTCGGGGCCTGTTGGGATGCATTTTCACGCTTCCAATACTTCTTAAAAGGCTTCTGAGATCCTCTGACGCCTTCTGACTTATTTCTGAGAGCCACTTACGGTCTTTAACGCTGTTTCGACAAAAGACTGGAGATGGTGCCACGTGTCTTCAGATGAGTAACATTTTCATGTTCAGATGACGTTCAGCCAGTTCCTCGCTGATAGTAGCTTTCGTATTCTCATCTTCATTTTGTGCTTACTATGGTCTTGTTACTGTAACTTTTCTATATCCATTTAAAAGCAGATATCTAAGTGATGGAACCGAAACGTAGCCGCTTTTCAGATACGCGCCCTAAAAGAAGAGGCAGGTTTCCAGCGAATTTCTCCATACCATATCAAACAGTGCCATCTTTATGTCCAAAACTCGTACTTGTTAGAAAAAGGTGGTTGCCCAAGAACACTTGTAGCAGGCAACTACCGTCATCTGTTCGTTCGACTGGAATTCCAAAATTCTTTCTGCCTCACTCAGTCTACGTACATCACTTGTGCACTGAAATCACCTGCAATCATAACTACGCTCGAACGTCTGGCTTTCAGTAGGAGGTTAAATAGTTTGAAGAAGAACTTATCCTTTACCTTCTCCAAACTGCATAAGCAGATATTACAAAGAGACAATGGTGAGTTTCACTCCTTGTTATAGTCCTCACTATGCAATTCAGTCGAACTGCTCAGAGGTAACTGTCAACTAAGATGCATTCCAGCAGTGCAATTACTGCCTTAGGACTCAGTGCTTCACCTAACCCCGCAGAGTCATGAGAACTAACGACTGAATCTTCAAACATTATAAGCATAAAGCTTGCAGATTCATCGAATTGGCCAAATGAGGTTAAGCAAATAACCGCACTTGGATCCTGTATATGTGCATCCTAAACACATCACACGCCCATGAACCGAGATGCCAGAGTTTTGGCTAGCGAAGCTTGTTGTTCAATTCGATAGAAGATGCAGACATTGAAAGCATCAACATGTAGTTTGGAGCGTGGTTTCAAGAGACTAGGAGTACTGTTCCGCGAACCTAAATCGTTTTCAAGAGCTGCGGAGCTGGAAAAAACCAAAATTACACATTGGCACTACACTATCATAATTTTGATATATTTCTGGACGAATTTTGTGATCTACTTGAAGCATTTCATTCACTTTTTAGGAATTTAGATACCAAAATATCTCTTGACCAGGAGGCATATTTAAAAAGCTACTGGATTGTCTCATCAGCCAAAAAAATCACTAGATCATAATAATATTATAATCCCGCATGAATACTCATAAAACTGCCAGCAGTCACAGTTGTTAAGAATCGGAATGGATTTCAGTTTAGTTATTTATTCAGAAATTAATACGCTTTAGCTTAAAAAATATGATTGACTGCTAAGGGTTGATTACTTTGATAAACTTGACATCACTAACCATTATTTTTCCGCATTTATCTTTTTGTCATTTAAGTAGGCAATTGCAGTATTTAGCATTAGAAGTACAATTAGCCACTTGATCATCATAGCATTACTGTTGAAACAAAACTTACGACAAGAAATTTTTAGGCATCAGACTTCTTCACTGTATATTTCTTTAGGTTCGGGGTAGTTAATGTGTTTCTATACTCTTGCTGTTTCAATATTTGTTAGCTTAGCTTACCAATATGACGATATGAAGAGCATTCAGTACTTCGCTCTCTGCAGCGTCACATCATAAAGGGTTAGTTGAGGATTGATGACATGACCATGAAAGACTTGTTTCGCCTTTGAAAAACTACAGCACCTGTGATACCAGTGAGATATTAAAATATCCATTAAAAAGAAAACAAAGGGCGTAGTAGTGTGCTTTACTTTAATATACACCCCTAAGCGAAACCATTGAATGTAAATGATCTGAAAATCCGTAGTGTTTCATATCATATAAACTGTGAAGTACCACAAAAGTGTAGTTAAACAATTGAATCAGAAATACAATTCTCTTATTGTAGTTCATGTAGGGAACTATAGGTTTCGTAGAAATCATCGCGACAATACAAATCAGCGATTGTAGACATAAGGTGAAATCAGTGACTTTAAACTTTGTTGTGAAAAAACTTCCACATCTCATCTTCTTAAACATAATTCACATGCTATTTTCTACATCTTGTTTGCCACTTCGCTTTTTCTCCTCAATGTCATTTTCATTGTTTTTCGTCGTTTTTAATGCCGCCTTATCGGGTTATGACCTTCCCTTAATTATTCTCACACCCTTTTCCAATGTCAGATGTGACTATCTCTTACGAATATGCAGATATGCTTAATGTGTCAGTTAGGTTTTTTAATATATGTATTGCAAACAGATCTTATTGCTCTTTTGAAATTGACTGATATAATTTTGTTTTTCCTCTTTATAGACAGTGATTTGACTTACAATTTCATTAGTTATATCACAGAATGTAACAGAGGTTAACATTTCTTGTAGAGCTTCGACATCCACTTGACTTGCTATGCGATTTACATCAACTGACGCTGTTGGAAAGAATAAAAGTGAAAAGAACATAAAATAAGAAAATAAAGTTTTTGTGTCAACAATAATAATGTCTAATCACCATTATACGGCAAAATATGAGATTAATTTACAAAACATGGCATTTCGCATAAGATATATCAACCTATGCAGCTAATCTGATTGTCTTTTACCTTACATGTAGACGAGTGCCCAATAATATGTTAGTATTATTTTTTGCTCACCCACTAGGCACGACTACGCAACAATTATGCATAAAATATGAAATTTTTCATGGTCATTGGGCCAGTTATAAATTACATACATGTATAAAGACATTTAAAATTTGACTGACCTAACCGTTTCCAATCAATTTTTCAGTACGTTTACGAAATAAAATTGGAGGTATTTGTTGTACATGCTGTGGACTTGAAACTCCCCCAAGAGTATTAAAGCATGGTTCAAACATCGTGATGGAAAGGATTTCACCTTGCACTTTTAGTAACAGTCTAACTCATTATGTAAGACACACCTGAAAAGATAAAAATAAAAGATTGGAACAAAAAAGGAAACAGGCACAAATAAATAGACAATTTCATAAGCACTTTGATTTGAAATGGCTATTATGAATTATAATGTGTGCTGCTTTATCCTTACTCTATAGCATTACAGTGCATGATGCTCAAATATTTAAAGAAACTTTAGTCAGCAAAAACGAATACTTTTAAAAATTAGGTGTGAAGTAAATCAAACTAGACGGGTTAGGTTGCATGCTTGCAACCTGAGAGTTACTGAACGCACCCAGCAACATTGTGCACATCCATGCAGTAGGCTATGATCCATACCTATTGTGTGAGGTCTAGTGATACTACCTGGCTGCTTGTTTGATAGTCCTTTCCCTAAACCACTGAGCCACAGTTGCACTTTATGCTTTCTGATAGTCATTAATGTAACACGCTCCACATAATCTCCCATGAACATTTCCGTAACTAATATATGTTTCTCGCAAACAAATTTATTCATACCACACACTGATTTACACGTATAGTTAGGACACCAAGAATTTTTTACAATCTTTCATCTGGCTATCTTAAGAACATTATAACCATAAATTTCATAGTTTTGTCATCGCCAAATACAAACGGCAGGAAAAGATAGCTACTAAAGTATTGTAATAAAAAACCCAGGCCATCAGTTTATTCCCTGTTCAACTTACGGTGTATGAAAATAAAAGGGGCTTTTTACCATGAATCCCCTTCTTATTTTATCCACACAAAAGTTCGAAATTCGGCCGGTAATCACTGATTTGAAACTAGTGCGCATTGCCATAAATTTCATAGTTAAGGTACAAGATAAAGAGGCATCCTAACCGCTTAGCATTTCAAATTTGTAAAATGCGTATGTCTGACGTAATCATTCACGAACCCTACAAGGCTTAGGTGTCATCATGACAAGTAAAAGTGATTACAAGGACAAGAATATATATCTTTCCTTACTGATGACAGTAAGTTCGTGGCTGGTTTTCCATCAAACCATCTTAGAAAACTGTAGTATTAAAACACATATAATTTAGTTAAGCTCTTGAATATGAATGTTATCAGCAAGGAAAAACCTACTTCTCTAAGATCTATGGTTGTGAATCACCTAAAATGTCTGATTTGCCTACAACTCATAAAACTAACGGTTCCTTACGTCCCATATTGTCCATGTGTTTTTCACTTGCACACAAAACAGACATAATTCCTATTCGAAGTAAATTATTCGAGTTTTCTTTGAAAAAAGCATTTGAACTTGCTAACCACCCTACTGATATCAACATCAGATACAAGGCTTTCTATTTCTTTGATATCGACTCCTTATTTGTGAATATGTCTCGTTACTAAAACGAATGAGGTTCTTTGTGACTATCTTCTAGTAATTTCACTATCCCTATCGCCCTGAAGAGGTTTAAATAACTGCTTTTATGTGCACTAATGAAGTCCACTTCTTACTTTGAAGAGAAGGTTTTCGGCAAAAAAGGCTTGGAGATGGAGAGTCCCTTAGATCCATTGCTATATTAACACGTCATTTTTTAGACGTTTGGTTGGGGATCTGATTTGTAAGCTTACTCTTGATAAGAAATATGTTTATATAATCGAAATGTGTGACAAACATGAAGATGAGATGTTTGTGAGAAAGAATTAATACCATACAAGACAACATAAGTTTAACATGCGGAGGAAACAATAACAATCTGCCACTATTGGACAGGACAGACGTCCAATAGGATGCTCAATCTACAGAAAACCTACTTAGATATGGTGGTATTTAATTGTCTGCAAGTGTAGTCCAACTCAATTTTTTGAGAGAATACATAATCAAAAGGATTCAGAGTCTTTGTACGGTATAGACAATGGATGATGACACCAAAACATGAACTAAAACAGAAAATACTTTGAAATTAATTGAAATTCATAAGCTGTTGACAAAGTCAGGTAACTTTGAAACCCACTGTGAATTCTTTCCAAAGAAAAGAGTTTTCGTCAACTTACCATGCAAAGGGGAATCTCATGGCGTAATTTTAAAACGTGGAGGAAAAAGTCTTCTTTCAGCAAACACATTATGCAACTAGGCTCATCTTAGTTAAGATAGTCAAAAATATTTTGCAGCACAGACGTCATTAGTGTGTTAACGACTGAGCCACGTCCCACTCCCTTTAACAGTTTAAATGAATAAATGAGTTTTTTGAGGGAATTGTGGAGATTTGGAAATATTTCAAGTTGTTATTCAGCGTAGACTGACATCAGTTGGAGGAACAAAGGAAACCTGGGAGCGCTAGACAGCTGTTTCGTCCTAGTATGAGTGGGTGGTGGTTGCGCTATATCGTGAGCTAACAGAAGTTGGAAATATAGAGCACTGGATTGTGACCCAGTGGCTCAATGGTAACGCGCTGGCCGCGGAACCTGAAGGTCGCGGGTTCAAACCCTGGCGGGGTCGTGAGTGTGCACTGCTTAGCAGTCTCATACTAGGACTAACAGCTGTCCAGTGCTCCCAGGTTTCCTTTATTCCTCCAAATGATTTCACTCTAGGATGAATTAAAACTTGGAATAAATGAGTATATATACAAATGCATAGAGAGGACTCATAGAGATACGTATGCTTGGGTGATGCAGAGCTCATAAAATGGCTGCAAAAGCAACTGGATTAAAAAAATGGATTGGCGTAGGTGGCAGGCTATCATCTTTCTCATCCCTTGATATAAATATATTGTTGACTGGTACTTAAACAACCCTTACAAAACTGTTTGGAAATTATGAGAGGCTGTACTTAAGTCTGTTGAGGCACTAGCCATAAGAAATGTAAACTTCTGTTGCATGTTCAAAAACGGCTAGTGCTTATGCTGAATCTACTCCAATATATTTTACCTTGTCTTGTCACCAAGGTCGGTTTCGGGACTTGTCATTCACCTTTTATTTTTTTATTATTATTGATTTCCCTGTTTAGGAAACCTTATAATGTGTCCTATACAGAAAACTGATGTGAAGTGGCTCAGGCAATCATGGCCATCAAATACCTCATGCAAAATATAATGTTATCATTGTTACTAATACAGTCACAAGCAATTAACTGGATATTTACCTCATATTTGTTTCTCATCCTTATTACGTTCATTGCTCTCACTTTTGGTTAACTGAATAGGGCTACAAAGTGGACAACATGAGCAAATATTTCTCACATAGAGCCACAGTAAAGGAAGAAAAAGCTGGACTCCAGTTTAAAACCATCATTTGACCTTTTCAATTTGCAATAATGACACAAAAACCTACCAACCTTAGGAAAATATTTCCCCAGTATGTGCAACTAATGTATATTAGGAAGAAATACTATTCACCGAGACTTTAAATATGGTAATAAAAAGTCACTTTCGCACTATAAATTCATAAATCAACTACAATGGGAGTAGACACTGAGTAATTTGGAGAACTGAAGAACAAATAGTACACGAAAGGAAACAATAAATAAGTCTAGAACACAAAAGATCGAACTTTTCTCGTTCTATTGCACAACACAACACATAAAATGATGGTTTTCAGGCTTTGCAGTAGTCCCAAAAATATTAGACATGTTTCTTAACTTAATGGATCTATACAAAAAGACAGATTCTTCTTTATGTGGGAACAACACTTAAATGTATTTAACATTACTTTTTCGACCGCATAAATTTAAAAGTTTCAAGGAATTTTTCGAACCAACTTACTTACAACATATGTGAGGCACAAGCTTCATTGAAAGGAAGAACTGAACAGTAGGCAAACAAATCTTACGTTGGTAGCATAGAAACTTACTAATTTGGTCTATTTAAACAATATTCATATGCATCGCAAAACGAACATCCAAATATATATACTTTACTTATTGGAACTCACAATTGTCGAAAAATGTCTGCACTGACGAAAATATGTGCTTTCGTTAGGAGCTGCAGCGAAATACTTTCCAAATTGAGAGAGCTCTTCGACAATATGTGGCAAAGAAGAGGCGAATTCTAGGCATCCCCGTTTCTGCTTCTTAGGTACAATAAATAAACTTGGGTACGAAGTCGTTCTTCTGCGTACTTCCTACCAAACTCCAAAAGAACCACAGAAAGTGTTTGTAGTGTCTAGTCGTCGTGGTCGACATTCCTTAATAAATACCAATGGAAGACATTCACCAAGAATATTATCTGCAGCGTCACACACTTCATCAGAGTCAATAGCCTACGGTTCGATGAGATTTAACATTGATGCTGACCTTCATAGTTTTATCAGACTCGACAAGCTGAAGGTACCTAGTCAAGCATGCACACCATTCAGCACACCTCGTGTTACGTTGAACTGCTCGTAATCGACTCTCAAGCCAGTTAGTTGGTATCTTGGTATGACCTCCCAAACATATTATTCCACCCGACTACGCTATTGTGTTGTTTCTTGGTCTCATAAACGTGAGTATGTAGCAAGTTCGAATAATTAGTGATTGGCCTCTGAATCTGTCAAGTCCTCACCAGGACGGTTCCTAAATTTGTGAACCGGTTTAATTTTCATACTTGCTTATCGTTTTAATTTCGGTGACCTTTATACATCTATGTAGAACTCCTTTACGTAACCGACCATACTCCAAAGCTGATGAGTATTAAGCCGACGACGAACACTATCCGACTCGTGCTGTTCTGGCTGGACAATGCAGAAACAAGCTCTATGTATGCCGAGGCAGATTTTCGAGAACAAAGAGTAGCAGATCCCCATTCCAGATTTCTTGCAGTAACATGTCCACCACCGAGGGAATTAAACAAGCATGTTACAACGCATGTGTTTAGCCCGGAAGTAAGTGATCCCTATGCGCGTCTCAAAGCTGCACTCCTGAAGAAAATGATCATACACATCGCCAGTGCCTGGACGAAATGCATCGTTACATCGAGCTAGTAAGCAGCTCAGCCACTAAATTCCTCGTACACATACAAAAAGTTATGGGCACACAGATTTTACATAATGCCCCTTTCCGACAACCGTTCCCCTCAAAATATACCACAACCGAGCGAACCGTGTAAGTGACAATTCAGTCAGTCCCACTCGATGACGTAGCAGCCTCAGCAGAAAAAACATTTGAGAACTTCAGCACACCCAACTTCCGTAAACAAGAAACCTGAAATCCAGGGTTCACAATTCAACAAGCAATGCAAATCTGTTATTCAGCTGCTACAAACCCGAAGCCTCAGGACACGTTGCACATCACCGAAATACACCTCAGCCCATCGCAGCAACTGGCGTCGTTATCCAAAAAAGGTGGTAAACAATAAAAAGTACTGGTTTCGCTATACCTACGAGGACGAAGCCAGAAAATCCAAGGTGCCGCGCAGTTTCAAACAAGACAGCAACTCAAGAAACTGTCCCGTCGACATCAGTTCACAACGTAGATATGCAGAACCATTACGAACTACTCGCAGATACTCGTCGTCGACGTCTGATAGATAACAACACAAAGTTATCTATTGGCGGCACCACTTACGTAGGTCCGAGCTCAGCCATCGTTAGAACCAAACAATCAGGCAACACGTCCTATCAGGCAGTTTTGAAGAAATATCCACAGTTACAACAGCCGAAGAACACTCTTCCGTGCCTAACCAGCAATGTTACGCATCATGCCACAACCACAGGTCCACCTGTGGCATCCAAAGCACGCCGTCTAGCCCCTCGTAAGCTCAAAACGGCAAAAAGTGAATCCGACCACATGCTCGAACTGGGCATTATCAAACCTTCAAGTAGTCCTCGGGCATCACCATTGCATATGGTTCCTAAAAAAGGATAGCAACGACTGGCGCCCAACCTGTGATTACCAAAGGCTTAACGCCAAAACAACACCGGATTGCTACCCGATACCTCACGTTCACGACCTGGCTGCAACCTTACGCGGAATGAACACTTTTTAAAAAATCGACTTGGTCAAAACACACAACCAGATACCTATGGAAGCAGAAGACATCGCGAAAACAGCCATTATTACTCCTTTTGGTTTGTTTGAATTCCTACGCATGCCATTTGGTCTTCGGAATGCAGCACAAACATTCCAACGCTCTATGGATGATGTCTTCCGTGGTTTGAGTTTTGTTCACGTCTGCATCGATGACAGTCTAACTGCAAGTCCAGATAAGGAAACTCACCTCAAAGATTTGGGCCTCGTAATCAATGGAGTGAGAAAACGTGGCATCACAGTCAACTTGCAGAAGTGTGAAATGGGAGTTGAATCACTCAGCTTCCTTGGGCTTACCAGTGACAACAAAGGTGTACGCCCATTGAGAGATAAAGTGGTGGCTACCATGAACTATCCAGAGCTGACCACTGTGAAACACCTCCGCACTTTCAGTGACCTGGTAAGTTATTGCCAAAGGTTTATTCCCAACTGTGCCTCTGTCATGATACCACACACAGATCTACTTCGAGGGACTACGAAGTGCTAGACTTCCTTTCTCTAAAGCCAAGGGAGCCATTTCAAACGCAACCATGCTTATGCACCACGACCTCGGTGCTCCTTTGGGTATTGCTGTTGATATATCTGACTCAGCAATTGTAGCAGCTTTGCAAAGGCTGACTGACAGCCAGTGGCAACCTTAGGCCTTTTTCTCGAGGCAGCTGCAGTAGACGCAAACGAGATGCGGTACATTTAGTAAAGAACGCTTAGCTATGCATTATTCTGCACACCATTTTTGATGTTAGGTTGAAGGTCATGACCTCATCATTTTCACAGACCACAAGCCTCTTACCTTCTTTCTTGGCCCAGCATCTCGGCACTCTCTGTGTGAGCTGCGACACCTGGACTACGTTTTTCAGTTCAAGTCAGATATCTGCCACATATCTGGAGCAAATGACTCCTTAGCCGACATACCGTCTCTAATAACTTTGATTGACTAAATAGAAGGTGTTGATCCTATTGAATTCGCTTGGTTTCTGAAAGAAGATTTGGAGCTGAACCGTGAGTTGTCGTCCACAACTCTGAAGCCACGACTGTATCCAGTGGGATCAGACAAGGATACGATTTTGTGCGATGTCTCTGCTAGGCAACCGCACCCAATGGTTCTGAAGAGTTGTCGACGCAACGTCTTCAGTACGTTGCACAAACTGTCCCATCCAGGTGCACGAGCCGCAATTAGGCTTATTGCACAACATTTCCGCTGGTCTGGGATGGACAAAGACGTTGAGGTGTGGGCTAAGTCGTGCATAGCTTGTCAGAAGTGAAAAGTCACGCGGCACATGAAAGGCTCTTTAGGTTCTTTCCTTGCCCCAGACACACCTTTCGACCACGTCCATGCGGACATTGTAAGACCTCCACCAGAATCTTATGAGTGTGCTTACCTTTTCACCTGTGTAGATTGTTTTAAGCCACGGCCAGAAGCAGTACCTATTGAGGACATTACTGCTGAAACAGTAGCTCGTGTTCTCGTCGAAAGATGGACCGCGAACTTCGGATGTCCATCTTACTTGACAACCGACGTAGAGCGTTTCATCGACAGTTGAAAGCTTCCCTTTCAGCTGCAAACATACCTCAGTGGACCGAGGCTCTGTCTCTAGCCCCACTAGGCATTTGCAACACGTTTAAAGCTGATGCTGGATGCACATCTGAAGAACTTATCTATGGGATTACACTTCACCCACCAGGTGAGTTCGTTTCCTCTTCAGCTCTCAAACGTATTTCCGACAGAGCATCTTACGTGACTAGGCTTACAAACGCAATGCGTTCAGTTAGGCTTACTCCTGTTAGACCTAGAACAACTGATGTCTTCGTTTACACTGTCCTACAAAGGATTTCACAAGTGTTCATTCGCCACGATTCCGTCCGTCGGCCGCTTGAGCCACCTTACGATTGACCATTCAAGGTGATTAGGCGACATGAGAAATTCTTCCTAATCGAGCGAAACGGACATGAAGATGCCGGTAATATCGACCGTTGGAAACTAGCATGTTCCGGAGGCAAGCCCATCATAAGTGACGTTTCAGTTCACTATAACCAACCGACGAATAGCCCAATCACCAAAATTCCCGAGAATGTTGATAATACTGCACAGATACAACAACAGTCGGCGCAGCAGAAACACGATCATGTCAGACAGCCAGGTTCCTGGAGTAATTGAAGCCATATTCAACTTAGTGGTGTGAAGCAAGTTTTTCCAACCATATTTGTTTTAATTCAACATTTTTTCGGCCACCTGTTCCCTTATTTACTGGCAATGAGTAAATTCTCGTACATCTAGCCTTTTAACGTCAACTTTTTACGGCTTACATATGATGAAACAATCTCCTCCACCATCACGATCATGACAGCAAGATTCAGCTCTCATGGTTTCGTGAGTACATGTTCAGCATACTTGCTAACCATCTATACATATGTGGATACGTGGAGTTCATGAGATGCACATATGTGTAGATATGTGTAGTATTCATATATATCTTTATGTGTATATAGGCGCGTTCCATATGTGCGTATATGCATGTTTCTATGTATTTGTAGGTGATATATATGAGTGTGCATATGTCTATATGTGTGAACTCTTGCGTTGCTCTGTGTCCGCATATGGTATACTTGGTGTCTATACGTATATTGATGGTAAATATGATGTACATATATATATATATATATATATATGTACATGTGCATGCATGTGTGCATATGCAAGTATGTATGTGTATATATATGTAAGTAAGCCATCAGTGAATTTGTCCATCCGCCAGTAGATTTGGGTGTAGTCCGCCGCGTTTTGATTA